TTACCTGGTACTAGATTTAAGAAGTGTCAGAAACGCAGTGGTTTGCACTATATCTGTACAAACTTAAAAAAAATAAACTTGCCACAAAGTGGAATTGTTCCTGCAGCTGAAGGATAAATTGTGATGACACATAATGCCAGCTTTTTTAATGTGTGTGAGTACAAATTGATTTAAGGCAAACTAACTCGGATGGGAGCATGAATATGTGGCTTTACAGAGCTGGGAGATATGCATTTCTGCTGTTAAACCCCAAGTAGTTTTTGCCTATCAGTATGTTTTTCTAGTTTTAGTTGCTTTCTAGTTCCTGAAAGCAGTTCCTGCTTGAGGGCATGAAACAGTACTTATTATATTGGAATTTGATATGCTTGTTTTTGCAGTGGTTATGGAAGATTGAAAGTGGAAAGCAGTAAGCATTTCTGGAGATTTGCTGAGACTTTCTTAATTCATAGTTATTGTTGGAATTGTTCCTTCCCCCCCCCCTTTTTTTTTTAACCTGCAAATTCTCATTCTGTTTCACTATTCCAGAAGCAAATGGTAAAATGCTGTGTTCCAATTCTGTAAATTCAGCATAGCCTTGTGCCACTGAGCAGTATGAACCAAATTTATAGTTTGGATGTCATTGTGGTCACTGTCAGCATAGGAAATGTTCTTTTAAAAAAGAAAAAAAAAAACAGAACAGAAAAAATGTAGTCTGGCTTGTCAAATCCTGTCCTAGTGCCTCTCTACCTCTTTTCCCTTTTTTCTGGCATGCCGCCTCCCACCTTTCTCCTCCTGTTTGCCCCATCTGCCCATTTGTGATTCAGGCAAAAAGCAAGATGTGCTGTGACTGATTTAGAGCATGTGCTGATTTGCCAGCTGGCCGCTATCTCTGAGCTGCTGGGTCAGCCAAACAGAACAGATAAGGTCTGAGCTGTCCTTGCATCTTCCCAGTAATGTTTCACCTCATTTGCTGTGGCATTTTCCCCATGCGATATGCAGAATCTCAGATATACTTAAGGTCACTTTACCTTCCCTCTCCTTTTGAACATGGAAAGCCAGAGTAAAATTTCATTTAAAATGTTATTAAAATAGTGCTAATAGCTGATGCTGAACAGAGTAGATTATCGTGCTCAAATATATAGTTTAACTATTATTAACCACACATCAAGCTGTCTGGTGCATTTGACATGTTGGAGGAAAGAGATGCCATCCAGAGGGACCTTGACAAGCTAAAGAGGTGGACCCCTGAGTACCTCATCAAATTCAACAAGGCCAAGTGCAAGGTTCTGCACCTGGGGGCAATCCCAAGCACAAACACAGGCTGGGCAGACACTGGATTCAGAGCAGCCCTGAGGAGAAGGACGTGGGGGTGTTGGTCAAGGAGAAGCTCAACATGACCCAGCAGTGTGAGCTTGAGCCCAGAAACCAACCGTGTCCTGGGGTGCATCACCAGCAGTGTGACCAGCAGGTCGAGGGAGGGGATTCTTTGCCTCTGCTCTGCTCTGGTGAGACCCCTCCTGCAGTCCTGCATCCAAAAGGACATGGAGCTTTTGGAACAAGTCCAGAGGAGGCCACAAAGGTGCTCTGAGAGCTGGAGCACTTCTGCTATGGCGATAGGCTGAGAAAGCGGAGGTTTAAGCTCCCTTCCATCCCAAAACATTCTGTAATTCAATTGGGTATCCTATTACTTTTTAAAAAACAGACGTGGTAGTGGTGTTGGACATAGAATTATGTGCTGGTGGTCTCAGCTGGGAGCTGTTCTGTTTCTGTCTGGTGTTTAAACTGTGCCTGAGGTCTGTGAAACCACTAGCATTTTCATAGGAAACCAAATATGTCCTGATGAAGAAGCTTATACTTTGTAAGAGCTAGCTTAAAAATAATTACTCATGGCTGCATGTCTTCACTCTCGAGACAGCATGTATATTCACTTGGCTGCAACAAACAAAATAGTAATAAACGTAGGCAGGTTTTTTAGAGTATTCTCTTTCTCCTTTTTTTACTTTTAGAAACCTTAGATACATTAGATTCCACCTTCTTCCATTCGACAGCAAGTTGAAAAAAAGAGGAAAGGGGAGCTGGCAGAGGGAATTCCTGTCAGTCTTGATTCAGGTGAACATATGTAGCTGAGTACATCTTAGTGACATTCTTCAGTACCTAGAAGATAAGTTTTCCCTTCCTGTCCTGGATGTTTCTGCTGCATCTGAGATAGAGGTAAATTGCAGCCTGCCAGCAGAAGAGCAAAACCAAGTCTTGCCCTCACCTCTGAAATGGCCTTGTTGGTCGTGGTAACATCTGGATAGCCACTGGCTGGTGCTTTGAGTCCTGCCACAATCACTGTGCCTTGTGCTCCTTTTCACCCTCTACCTTGCAGATGCTGGTTTGGATGTGGGTTTTTGTGTGAGCAGTTTGCAGGTAACACAACACTACATGATCTTTTCTGCTTTAGAACTACTCCAATTCTTTACTATTCATTACAGTTACAAGTTGTCAGTATTAGGATCCTCTGGATGTTTTTTTGCTAATGCCACTCTGAACCATAGAAAATGTTCTTTGCATACTTTGCCATCATCTGTGGTGTTGTTGTAGGAGATACTTCCCTGCTCTGAAGGTGATGCTGTAGCTTGGTGTTTACTTTTTCACCACTGCTGAGATGAACTCTAGCAATGCGCGGTACTTGGGCATGGAGCCTCTAAACACCCAGCACTTCTCATCTGTGCTTGTAGCTAAGCAGGCTGCTGTGGGTGCAGTGATTTGCTATGGGATTTTGAATCAGGCTGAAGATCTTTTCATGGATTTCTGGGCCCAGCTATCGCAGCTGCTGCAGTGATGGGTTCGTACATGCTCAGCACAATGCTGCATAATACAGTGTGCACTGTTAATGCTTTCCTTAGGGAAAAACTTGCCTGATTTATTCTGTTCTTGGCCTAAAGTACACAGAACAAACTACAGCTCTAAATGTCTCTGCTGTATCCTAAATGCTGTATGCTGGGTTTCTTAGATGTAGGGCTTCCTTTTGCTTGTGTTGGGATTAGGTGAGGCTGTTAAACATGGGTTTGTGTGTTTGTGCAGCTCTTTAGAAAATTCGATACTTACTTTAAGACCTTTAGTCTGAATTAAGCTTCGTGATTTACAGAGCCTAACATCCTCTTAAAAATGTATCTGTGATAGGACTTCTGAGATTATATCCTTGTTGCTATTTTAATCCAAATACTCAATAATACATCCTGTATTGAGGATGCATTGCCACATTATAATCCTGCCTTGGGACTGGGCTGGACAATATGAGCGCTACCTCTTGCTGAATTAAGAGCAGTGTCACATCTCTGAGTGCTGAACTCAAACTCAAATCTAGGCTTGCTATTCTTATTTTACAACAATGGTCTTCCTGTAGGAACAGGAATAAGACTGCCTTGTAAGCAGGAGTTTACAAGTGAAGTCCTTCAGCAAAGCACTCCACTAGCATTTTAGAGCACAGAAAGCCAACCAAATCCTCTTGCATCTGTCTTTGAATGATGACAGAATGGGTTTGGGTTGGAGGGGACCTTAAAGATCATCTAGTTCCACTCCTCTGCCACAGGCAGGGGTGGCTTCCACTAGACCAGATTGCTCCCAGGCCTATCCAACCTGGCCCTGAGCACTTCCACGTATGGGGTAGCCACAGCCAAAGATCCAGAGGTGCTCTCTGGTGTTCTCTGTTGATATCAAAGCCCTGGTGAAGGAGACTCCATCAGTGCACCTCCATATCTATAACTCACCCAGAAGCAACAGTTAAGAGTCTGCAGCAAGCATGCTGCTGAGGATCTTGGAAGAGCTTCTATTCAGTTAGCCAGGTGCAGGGTGCATGTTGTCGCTGCTTACTTGAATGACCCTGCATTGAATGACTGTTGCTTGAATGAGTGGGGCAACCTTGGCTTACATAGTCATCTAGCACAGCTGGTTACGCTGACTGCTATCCAAAGTCACTGTTGTTCCTGTTATGTCATACAGATACGCATATTAGATCCAAGCATGAGTAAAAAGAGATGATGGACTTGCTTAATAAATAATTATTTTTGAGAGATGGTGCTAAGAAATTACTATTTTTAAACTTGCTTCTCAACCCATCGGAGCAGCAAGAACTCTGAGGGTAATCTTACATGGCTCCCATGTCTTTCTCCTGCTCTGTTCAAAAGAAATCAGTGATGCTTGTCAGAAGACTTCACTTGTTACTGATGTCAAGAGCTTCTTAATCTCATTTAGAAGGTCCAGGACAAGGAGAGATACCGCTCCTTTGTTATGCGTTTGCTGCATTCTTCTGTCTTCTGTAAAGGGGAGGCTGCGTAACCTGCTCTCAGGGCATTGACTGATGCTGTGCCGTTATTTTAAAGATCACTCCAGTAATTTTGTAATTGCTGTTTAAAATCAAGCAAAAAACCCTAACCAAACTTTTAAATTATGCACATAACAGATTAAAGGTATTGCTAGTCTCTGCTCCTGCTTTTAAAGGAAACAACTGTTTGCTCTGTGGTCCCAGCAGCCATGAGAGAGCCGAGTTGGGCAAGTCCACAGGTTGGACTCTGAAATTTCCTCTTGAATAACGTATCTGAAGTTCCTGTTCAAGTGGTTTTGGAAATTTTTACGTTGCCTGGGTGCTTTGTTTTTAAGAGACAGTAACACCCACAAAGCTCGAGAGAGAAGTGTCACAAGAAGAAAAAAAAAACTGGGAGTGAATGAGGAAGAGATGGTGGCAGCATGAGGAAAATCAGTAGCTTTAGAGTTAAAAATCAACTTATTCAGAGCAACATCTCAAATCTTACTCCTGAAAAGAGATGAGCATTGGTTTATAAAGTGACTTAGAATCTGTAAGCAAGGGGAGATCTTAGGAGGAAATGATTTTTTTAAATACAGCTCTCTAGTGATGAGGCATTAATGATAGAGCAGTTATGCTACAATCACTGCAACTAACAGTTTGTTTTTTCTTTTGTCTTTCTTCCCCCAACCCTGTATCAAATCCTTTCTGCTCCTGATGCTTTGGGGAACAGCAGGACCCAACCAAAGGTAAAGGCTTTTAGTGCACATTAAGTCAGTGTGTGAAAATTGTTGTATCACTTATTCAGCCTTGGGTTATCCAAATATTAAAAGCATTTTGACAAAACAGCTCTGTAGTTAATCAGCTGTTGAGAAAGAAACTTAAAGCATCTCCTTGCTGCAGAAGAGCACTGTACAGCCTCTGCCAAATAATGAGTCACAGGAACAAATGAGAACATACATGCTCAGCATTACAGACTGTGAATGGAAGACTCCTTGTTGTTTGTGGGCTTTTAAAAGCATTTTCTGATATTTGTGTTAAAGCAAACTCATTTTGCTTTTACAGCTCATGATCCCATAACTTTGTACTTTGTATGAAGACGTCAATCTCTACCCTAGCATATCAGGATTCAGCTTTATTGATGTGGTCCTATAGCCAATATTTTATTAAGCCAATATTTTATAGCTAATAGTTTTATTAAGGCCTGGGATGTTATAATAGCATGTTTAATTGTACAATGAACTCAAAGAATAAAAAACCCCTTAATTTTAAATAAACAAGCTATTGTTTCCTCGGAGGATATAAAGTAACTCACTTTTATCTCTTCATTCAGGGATGTTAACATAGTATAGGGAAAAAAACCAAAGCAAAACACAAAATTAAAATTTCAAGGATTTTTCTATATTAAGCATTTTCATAAATGTAGGTAGTAAGTTGGGATGTGTTGATAGTACGGATTTTCAACTCTTGCCTTATTTTTCTAACTATTTTAGTTGAAATACTTGATCAAGATTTGTTTCATCTCTACTAAAATGGAACTTAAAAACGTGTTAACAGATGAAATGAAATTTTAGAATGCAGGTTCGGAAGGTGAATGTGCAGTGCTGAAAGGGAAAGAGCAGCCTTCATGAAGCTTTAGGAGAAATAAACAGCCAAAAGGCAACACGTTGCACTTCCCTTTTCCTTTCTCCTAAAGAATAAATTTTGCCCATGTGACTATAGGTCAAACATTACCCTGATTTTTGTTTTTTTCTTGCAAATACATACCGTGGAGAGTTTTTTTTTTTTGCAAACATCTGTCCCAAAATACACGCTGTCTTATTGCAGTTAAGCTTTAATGATGAAAAGTGCCTGTGCATTTTGAATGGATTGAAATTCTCTATTTAAAAAGTTTGGTTTTATCAAATTGAAACTTCTCTATTTAAAAAGTTTAGTTTTATCACAAGAACAGTAGCACTATAAATTGCTCTATGTTGGTCTTTATAAGTCTTACAATTTGGTGATGACCTACTTCTCTTCTACATAGAGAGATGCCTACCCTAAGGTGTGTTTTTAATTTATGTACATGGGAGACATGGGGAGATGGTAGGCAGGAGCAGCCAGAGGACATCTGTCATTTTGTAGAGTAGAAAGTCTTGTGAAAAATGAATTGCAAGGGTGGGTTTAGAGGAAGATAAGAAGAGCTCCTTGACATCCACTGGCTTTCCACATGGAAAACTTTTGGAGAACATGGAATAGGATTTACACAGTAGAGAGTCAGAAATAAAGCAAGAAACAGGCTGGCATATGGGATAATCATGGAATCACAGAATGGTTTGGGTTGTAAAGGACCTTAAAGCTCATCCAGGGACACCTTCCACTAGACCAGGTTGCTTCAAGCCCCATCCAACCTGGCCTTGAACACTGCCAGGGATGGGGCAGCCACAGCTTCTCTGAGCAACCTGTGCCAGGGCCTCACCACCCTCACAGGGAAGAACTTCTGCCTAATATCAAATCTAAATGTCCCGTCTGTCGGTTTAAAGCCTTTCCCCATTGTCCTATCCCTACAGACCCTTGTCAAAAGTCCCTCTCCAGCTTTCTTCAGCCCCTTTAGGTATTGGCAGGGTAAGAAGATGCACTATTTGTTTAGGCTTCAAACTCATAGAATATAAGTAATTCTGCAGCAATATATATTATGCTCAGAATGCCCTGAGGAGCACAATGTTAGCCAACATAATACAATGCTGTCAAAATTTGGATGTGTTTGATTTAGCAACAGTTTTTATAAGGTGTCCTCCTTCCGACAGGTGTTTGCTTACGATCACTGCTTTTGGTCTATGGATGAATCTGTCAAAGAGAAATACGCAGGTAATATTTACTGTAGCTTTGTGCTTGTTGTCTCCAAGTGTGAATGATGTCATTAAAGTACAATATTTGCTCTTGGGCACAGACCATATGGCATGAAGTGCCTCCCACTGTATGACTGCTTGTCAAAAGAAAAAGGAAAAACTTCAATCATTCCTGTTTCTATTCTCTAAAGATGATGATAGCAAAAGGCATTGCTACCCTTTTGCAGTGTAGGAAATTGAGAAATCCATCACAATAATGGGTTAATCATATTTGCATCTTTATTTAAAATACTCTTTCAAGTCCATAATTTTAAAAACATCAAATCCTTTTTAGGATTTGAGGAACATTTCTATATGTAATTTCATGTTTCATAGTGCTGATGGGAGGTTGGCATCATGTTAAAACTTAATAATGTTGTACTAGAAAAAAGCCTAATGTAATATAGAACTATGTGAATTCATATGGTCTGATGAGAATGTGTATTTAATTCAAATTTTCTATGTATTATTATGGCACATTTTGGCAAATAGTTATGATAAAATATATTTGGAATTACCAGTTTTGTGATCTGTTCCTTTCTTACTTGTTATCTTTTAAAATTGGGATTTGGTTAAGGTGCACATGCTTCTAGTTTTTAATTCCTTTGCCAAATAACTAATGAATAGTAATTTAGTGAGAAAATGAGAATAATGTGCACTTTCAGCTGTACAGATTGCATAGGAAGGTAAGATTTTTGTTTCTCAAACTAATGGAGGCACCTGTATTATATCACTTACATATTACAGGTGATATATATATATATGTCACATATGTATATATAAAATAATATATTAATACAGATATCACCTGTATTATCACTTATATTATAGTCACTTAGATATTGGATGTGTTTGGTACAAAACCATTCCACTTATGTGCTCTATTAGCCAGGCACAGTTGTTAGGAGTTTTGCTGGGGAATTTTGCATGCGTAAAATTAGAATTGGACTTGGATGTCAAGATAAAGACTTCAATGAATGAGAGAAAGGAAAAGCTTTCAAGACCATTAACATATTTGAGAGGACTTTGCAGTCCATAAAGTTTTGTCATGTCTTGTTGAGGCTTTAGTTCTTCTGTTTGTAAAAGAAATTTTGAAAATAGAGATTTTGCTTGAACAAGTAATATCCAAATATATGAAGCATTTCTTCCCCTCCTTGGAAAAGGAGCCGAAAAGCTGTTCCTACAGATTTGGTTCAATTACAAAAGATGTGATATACCTTATATTTTGCTAACACGTACCTTGTATTATGTCATCTCCCACATGGTTGTGGTTCCTCCTCTGCAAAAAATCACTTTTATTACTTAATATCTTATACGTATGCAGTAAAATCTAATGCTCTACTAAGTGCCATAGATTAAAATCAACTGATAGTTGTTAAAATGTACAGGCTGTGTATATTTTGAGATGGTGTCATTCACCACTGGAATAAATTCTGCAGTTGGTAGTTGATTTTTTTGCTGATAAAACCTTTGGACATGAACATTGATAGGATGTTATTTTAAGCACATACAGATATATGCGTGATAATTCCAGCTTCTGATTTTTGCAGTAGCATAAATCCGGAGCACATATGCTGGCTGATGGTCTTGCTCATCTAGAGGGAGCAAATACAGAATGTGATTTAGGCCACAACAGCAGAAAATCACAAACTGCTTTTACATAATCACTGAAGAATCGAAGTCAAGGAAAAAAACTCTTTTGCTTTGTTACAGCGTTAGCTTGTGTGTTGTTTCTTAGGTCAAGATGTTGTTTTCAAGTGCCTTGGGGAGAATATTCTTCAGAATGCCTTTGAAGGCTATAACGCTTGCATCTTTGCCTATGGGCAAACTGGTAAGTCCCTTCCAGACATAAGGGAGAAATACTGTCGATAAAAAAGGTGGTATGTTCTGAGGAGACCCTTTTCACAGCTGTTGTGACATTGTTCCAGGAGAAATGCCAAGTGATATAGGTAAAAAATGTTTGTCTCTTTTGTAACTTTAGCTGTGAGGTAGGCAGGGTGAAAAATAGGATTTTCTCCCTTGCTGCTGACTACCCTTATTTTCACACCTTAGATTATAATCTTTAGAGTGACCGTGATCATCCTTCAGTTCAGTGCATCACTCATATTTTCTGCTTCTTCAGTTAGAATAATCTTTAATCATTGTAAGTGCAACATGCAAAAATGAGCATGCTTACACAATTGATTTTTCTTACTGAGACACACATGGGGTTTTGTGGGTTGTCATCTACAATGAGACTGTATCTACCTGAAAAAAATCTTTTCTGTCAGTTTGAGGTAAGTTTCTTGGTTTACTTTTCCTTTTAATTAAATAATCTTTAGCCAAATACTGGTTTGATGAAAGTAGAGAACTACACAAATATCTTTCACTGAAATGCAAAATTTATTTTTATTTTATTTTTTTAACCTCTTTATTTCCTTTCCATGTTCTGCAGAGCAAAAAACATTGTTGCATGCACACTAATCATAGATTCGTTCTCACAGGATCTGGAAAATCATACACAATGATGGGTACTGCTGACCAACCTGGATTAATCCCTAGACTTTGTAGTGGACTCTTTGAAAGAGCACAGAAAGAGGAAAATGAAGAGCAGAGTTTCAAAGTGGAAGTATCCTACATGGAGATATACAATGAGAAAGTCAGAGATCTTCTTGACCCAAAAGGGTGAGTCAGCAGCACTGTACTGTGTTGTCATACACTCTTCGTTTCCATAACCAGTTTGCCTTAATGGATCCCATGTCAGGCATTTGCATAGGATGGCTTTTGTTTCTTCCTGGTCTCAGTATCCTTTTGTTTTAAATCAAAATGAAGTAGTAAGACTGAAAGCTTGGAGTAAACTCACCCTGATGCTAGCTTTTATGAAGTGACAAAATGTGTCAGCATTTTACATGGTTTGCATTATCATCCTTGTTCTGTGCTTTATTATGGTATTTGTAAGACCATAATGTTTGAGATCTGTCTGTGAGAAATTGACTTTCTATAAATGTTGTCTGAAGTCAGTCATGTGCTTTTTTTTTTTTCCAACCAGAAGCCGTCAGTCATTAAAAGTTAGAGAACACAGTGTTTATGGTCCTTACGTAGATGGCCTATCCAAGCTAGCCGTTGCTAGCTACAAGGTAAGGATCAATTTTATGAAATGCTTATGTTGACATTCTAAACACTAGGGTACTATCCCTTAAGTAGAGTAAAACTATTAAGCTGTTTCTGATTGCTGTGGTAGAAACATGGATTTTAGAGCAAGAGAGCTGTAGGATTGTTGTATTGTGGTCACCAGGGAGAACAGGGTTAAGAGCAGAAACTCATCTTCATCTGGTACTATTCAGTAATTCTGGAAATAATTCAACAATTTAATGAAACAGCTTTCCTCCCAAACTTAAGATGAGCGTACGCTGTGTCCATGAGAAAACATTCCATGACAGATTACAGAACCAGGATTTAGCAGAGAAAAGCTTTCAGTATCACATTTTGTCACTGACTGTCATGCTATTGCGTGGTAATTTCACTTACCAGTAACACACAGACACACTGGAATTATAAACTAATGGCTGTTTACAAGGCAAATACATGAGGACATGACATAAAACTTGCTTGCTGGATAGTAAATTTGTAAGAAGCATAAATGTACTGTGTGACAAATTAATAAATATGGGATGAAAGTCTGTCATCTTAAGCAAAACATGAAAATGGTGCAACCCTTCCTATTGCAGTTTCTCATCAACCTCTCTGTGGTGGTTTCTGTTAAGCCAAGATTGTGTGCTTTTCGTTTACATGTCACCCAGCAGCTTTTGTGTAATGCAGAATACAGAGTCAAAGTGGTCTATGGTGGTCTTCCATTTAATTGGTTTTGGGTTGTTTTTTTTTTACCATCATCCAGCTAGAGATGCATAAATAAACATCAGGGCCAGGACTCTAGAGTTTGAACCATTTTGCAGGATTGCTGTAAAACCCTGAAGCAGGGGAGCTGTGTATTTCTCAAGTATCACAACTTAGTGTATCAGAGGAGTTTATAAGCTGTTATACAGAGAAGGAATATAATGGCCTCTTTAGTGTGGTTCTGTTTAATAAAACTTTTGTTAAATCTTTAGAATTATTTGGGTTGGGCCTCACCACCCTCACAGGGAAGAGCTCCTTCCTAATAGCTAATCTAAATTTCAGCTTTTCAGTTTAAAGCCATTCCCCCCTGTCTTTGAGCCTTCTGTCAGTATTACAGATTTCAGGAACACGTGTTTGACAGCTGGGGTTAAAATGTTCAAGTGTTCAAACATGAATTGCTGTTTCCCTACTTTTTTTCTTTGCTTTTGAGTATTATGCAGCCAGGTGCATTATTTTTGTTGATAATTTAATATCTAGATAGCGGTAATGGATAAATATGCATGTCACAGCATTGTGCCATTTTTACTCTTTAAAGGGGAGATCGCAGTATTTTTTTCCTGACATTTTGTGAACAAACAGCAGGAAGCTCAATGAGAAAATCCCTGCTATATTTTATGAAAATGAGATTGTTTCAGTAGATAATAAAAGAATGTTAATGCAGATATGCTTATGGCTGTGAAAATTGTACCTAGGACATCGAGTCCTTGATGTCTGAGGGCAACAAATCTCGAACAGTGGCTGCAACCAATATGAATGAGGAGAGCAGTCGGTCCCATGCAGTCTTCAAGATCATCCTTACCCACACGCTCTATGATGTACAGTCAGGGGTGAGTAAACAAGTTACAAAGTCCAAATGTTAAACTTGGATTGGCGTCTCTTGCTTTAATGTATTTCAGAAATTCATAGAAAAGTTGGTTGGAAGGAATCTCAGGAGGCCATTTGCCTGCCCTTGTGCACTGCTAGTGTGAATCAGGTTAGCTCTGGCTTTGGCTGGCTAAGTTCTAGTAGTGCTCAAGTGCTTGTTCTGCAGTGTAGGGAAATCAGTTTGAATAGGTTTAGAAATGAAATGTGAGGTTTTTTTAAATGGAAAACAAAAATGCTGGACCCAGCTTGCCGCAGACCTGCTGGAGGGTGTGGGAAATATCTCTTATTCCTAGAATCTAAACTGAAGAAACACTTTTTGAGCAGTAGTGTGTACTGTACGGACTTAAGGCAGAACTAAAGACAAAATGTGTAGATGAAAAATGCAAGAACACCTGAGTATACATCTGGTAATCTCCTTCAAGAGCTTATTTCATGCAAATACGTCTAAATGACCAACTTTTATGAAACAGAACACTTACTAATTTCAAAAATTTTGCATTGTATGGCATTATTATTTTTATGCATATTAAATATCTAAAAGACATGTAAAGAAAAATAATTTCATATTTTTCTTTTCCTTATATTTAAATATTTCTTGGAGGAGTGTGTGAAATATATTTATGTGTTAATATTATTTAATTCCTCACAGAAAATGGTGATGAACTGAAATTGAAATAGATCTTTCATACTAAAACTCTTTAAATTGTTAATAGATTCTGTGCTTGGGCAATTCTTTAATATCATTAAAGATTTGGAGAAATTTTGAGTATTCATGGAGCAAATCTAAAGTGTGTATGTTCCTAACTATTGAATGCAATGCAAAACATGATGAGCATAATTATACCTATCAGCCAAAATCATTTTCATCTTGTTAGCAGTAATGAAATAATCATAGAATTATAGAATAGTTAGGGTTGGAAAGGACCTTAAGGTCGTCTAGTTCCATCCCCCCTGCCATGGGCAGGGACACCTCACACTAAACCATGTCACCCAAAACTTTGTCCAACCTGACCTTAAACACCACCAGGGATGGAGCATTCACAACGTTCCTGGGCAACCCATTCCAGTGCCTCACCAACCTTACAGTAAAGAACTTCTTCCCTATATCCAGTCTAAACCTCCACTGTTTAAGTTTGAACCCGTTACCCCTTGTCCTGTCACTACAGTCCCTAATGAATAGTCCCTCCCCATCATCCTTATAAGCCCCCTTCAGGTACTGTAAGGCTGCTATGAGGTCTTCACGCAGCCTTCTCTTCTCCAGGCTGAACAGCCTTAACCTTCTCAGCCTATCTTTATACAGGAGGTGCTCCAGTCATCCTCATGGCCCTTCTCTGGACTTGTTCCAACAGTTCCATGTCCTTTTTATGTTGAGGGCACCAGAACTGCACACAGTACTCCAGGTGAGGTCTCACGAGAGCAGAGTAGAGGGGCAGGATCACCTCCTTCAACCTGCTGGTCACGCTCCTTTTGATGCAGCCCAGGATACGGTTGGCTTTCTGGGCTGCGAGTGCACACTGAAGCCAGCTCATGTTCATTTTCTCATTGACCAACACCCCCAAGTCCTTCTCCACAGGGCTGCTCTGAATCTCTTCTTTGCCCAACCTGTAGCTGTGCCTGGGATTGTTCCGACCCAGGTGCAGGACCTTGCACTTGGCGTGGTTAAACTTCATGAGGCTGGCATCAGCCCACCTCACAAGCGTGTCAAGGTCCCTCTGGATGGCATTCCTTCCCTCCAGCATATCAACCGAACCACACAGCTTGGTGTCATCAGCAAAGTTACTGAGGGCGCACTCAATCCCACTGTCCATGTCAGCGACGAAAATGTTGAACAAGACCAGTCCCAACACCGATCCCTGAGGGTCACCACTCCTTACTGGTCTCCAGCTGGACATTGAGCCATTGACCACAACTCTTTGCATGCAGCCATCCAGCCAGTTCTTTATCCACCGAGTGGTCCACCTATCAAATTGATGTCTCTCCAACTTAGAGACAAGGATGTCGTGTGGGACAGTGTCGAACGCTTTGCACAAGTCCAGGTAGATGACATCAACTGCTCTACCCCTGTCCATCAGTTCTGTAGCCCCATCATAGAAGGCCACCAAATTGGTCAGGCAGGATTTCCCCTTAGTGGAGCCATGCTGGCTGTCACCAAGCACCTTGTTGTTTTTCATTTGCCTTAGCATGCCTTCCAGGAGAACCTGCTCCAAGATTCTGCCAGGCACAGAGGTGAGACTGACTGGTCTGTAATTCTCTGAGTCATCCATTTTCCCCTTCTTGATAATGGGGGTTATATTTCCCTTTTTCCAGTCATCAGGAGCTTCACCTGACTGCCATGATTTTTCAAATATGATGGACAGTGGCTTAACAACTTCATTCACCAGCTAAACACTTCGAATCAGCAGTCATACTGTGCTAAACTCCTTGATTTGATGTAGTTTGTCATTGTGTTTTTGCTGTGGCCAAGCTGTGAGCTTACCATGCATATTTTTTGTGTGGTCATGGTCAGCCTGAGTTCTAGGTGGTAGTTCTGATTACCTGTATCTTCCTGTGACCACTGTGTGAGTTTCTGGAACAGATTTCTCTGTTTTCCCATCTGCTGGTTCTTTCAGTCTTGGAAATGACTTGTTTCAGTATGGCCTGATGATTACATTATATTTTGAGAAACTTAGAGTAACATTTTTGAAAACATATTGATTCTAATTATCCTTTTCATTTAGCAGAATGTAGCACTTTGTGCTACCAACATGCTAAAGTTGTCAATGCTGCAGGAGAGCAGCATGATGTGAGCAAACTGTTCTCAAAGGCAGCTTTCTTTTCCACTTCATATTGACATATGAAATTCGTGGAGTGTTTCAGAATGCTGTTTTTTGTCAAATGAGAGTAAAGTATTTGTAACTAAACCTGTGTTGCAGGTTTAAATATGTATCTTGAATTGCTTTCTAGGAGGACATAAGGGGACCTTGCAGTTGTAATAAATTTCATAAATTATAACGTGCTTCTTGTCAGGCTCGTTTTTTGTCTCCGAAAACCAGGAGCAACCTGGTATAATATCTGAGGTTTTTAGAGGACTGTTTTCAAGATGGGATTGTAAACCCCATGTCACTGTGACTCCTTGGCCTGTACTACCTCTGCATTTTTCTCTGTTTAATTTTACTAATATGCTCTGTGTAGCTCTCCTCTGGAGGTTTCTAAGATGTCTTGAAGATATTACTCTGACTTCACATGCTTCTGTTCTTTTTGAAGCAGCAGGTAGTAAGTTAACACAGAATACTGTTCAAATTCAGTGACTTTCAGCTGTTGGAACAGCTGCAGAGTCTACACCAAGAAATGAAGTTTGATTCTTCTTAGAAAATACATCCAACTGTAAATCAAGTGAACTAAAAGTAGCTGTTCTCTGATTCCTTCTGCAGACATCAGGAGAGAAGGTGGGCAAGCTGAGTCTGGTGGACTTGGCCGGTAGTGAAAGGGCAACCAAAACTGGTGCTGCAGGAGACAGGTTGAAAGAAGGAAGCAACATTAACAAGTAAGACTCTGATTATTTTTTTTTTACCTTTTTTTCCTCAATGCTATCATGACTGCTAAATACAGCATGCTTGTGAAATAGAATAAAGTCAGTATAAGCTCTTGTAGCTGGTTTTCTTCTTCCCTTTCCTTCTTGTTCTGATATACCAAAGTCTTAAGCAGAGATCTCATTCAGACATCTGTTTAAAATGATTGGCATTTTTTCCCTCTGTACTTGTGTTCCTATAACTACCACATAATTGCATTTTGAAGACAGGATGATTAAGGCTGAAAACAAGGAGTAGAGCTTTTGTGAGAAAAGAATGATAAAAACTGTATTAGGAAGCTTCTCCTTGCACTCATTTTTGGAGAGAAAGTCACTGTCTAAATATGCATTTGACTTATGAATATTTACACTGGTTAATGGCTGCTTGTGTTCTCTGTGCAGATCCCTCACAACCCTTGGGTTGGTTATTTCTGCCCTGGCAGATCAGGCTGCTGGCAAGAACAAGAACAAATTTGTTCCTTATCGTGATTCTGTGCTCACTTGGTTACTTAAAGTAAGTACTCTGATCTTGGTTTTTTAAAGAGAAATAGAAGTGAGAAGAAGGGGAGAAGAGTGCCATTCAGTAAACTAAAGGCCTGTTCTTTTCTGCCTCATTTTCTGTTTTTGATGTTAACCAATCTGATGTCTTTGGAAAATTAGCTGGATGTAAGCCATTAGTATCTCTATGAATCAAATGTGTTCCCTGTCTTATGCTGACCTGTAATGGTCTAAAGAATAAGGAAATTAAATATATATGTATATTATGCATTAGTTTACATACAGCTTCACACACAGCCTTAGGGCTAATTGCCACATGCAGCTGAATTTTACATGCTCTCAAGGTTAGCTTTGAAGATTTTGATTAAGACTATTACCTTTTCCTAATTGTCTAATACATTTGTTAATATACTCTACTTTTGTCAGCAAAGTATGATTGCAGAGCATTATCCCAGTTACAGTCTGAGGAACAGGTCAGAAGACTTAATGCATCATATTCATATGAAATAAATTGTTCACTACTGTGTAGGAGTCTATTTGGTATTATTTTGGAGAAAACGAGTGTATCATGATGGCACTTGAATCACCTGTAAAGTCTAAATGAAGAAACACATTGTTTATATATGTCAAATTAAAAGGCAAGCTTTTGAGTTTGTTGTTCTCCCCACTTCCTATGTACAATGGCAGTAAAGCAGGGTAGCCTGATGACAAAAAATCTTGGGAGTACAAGTTTGATTTTAGGAATAGTCATCATAAGGATTTTTCCCATGTTCTGAATGAATGGCAAGCACAAATGTAACTTCTTGTTTTCATTAAAAGCTTGCCTGCTAGTGAAGGTGGCTTGTCTGTCTTTTCCTTATCCTGCCTGGTACAGCTTGAGCAGTATTGTTTGACTTGGATTTTGAAGGATTAGTGAATTAGGTGTCATACGTAGGTGATGTTATTTTCTTTACTGTAAGCTGTCATGTTGCTAAAATTTTTTTCTTTCATCCTTTGATTGCCAGGATGTTTCATAACCATGTCTCATAGAAATACTTACCAGGTATCCTTTTATTCCTTGTGCTCTGTTTTATTGTTACTGAGGAGCAGCTAAGCTATTTGTTAGTAGAAAGATATAATCTGGAAAGAAACTGTTTTTTTGGCACCACCATCCTTTTTCTTTTCTTTTTTTTTTTTTTGTCTTTTTTAGGTGCTCTGGCTAGGTTTGGTTGTCTTGAAAGCTCTGCTTTGCTTCCTCACCCATTCTTAGCAATGTTTTTAGATATTGTTTCAGTTGGACATCCCTATGATTTAGCTGCACGTGTGGAAAGAAAAAGAAAGTTAGTTGCAGGTTATACGTAAGTGTGGAGATTAAAAAGGTTGTTTTCCTTAAAGAGATTTGAAAACAAAGTGGCCTTTAGTGTTTAAATAAAATAAAATCTCTGCATGTGTAACCCTTGACACCACAAGCCTTCATTTTTCTATGTGTTCTCTTTTAATGAGCCATAAACCCTTTAGCGTGACTACCGTGAAATGATTTATCTCTTCTCCCAGTGTAAACATCGCAGATACTGGTCACCAGGTAGTCATGAGGGCTACATAGAAATAAGAATGGCATAACAGAAATAGTGTCTATACTTTTCCTACAGTAAAATAAACCCTCATATTGCAGTGTTCCTTGCACTAAGACTTTTTTAGCATTTAAATATATTTTTGCCTCTGTATAGTCACACCGAGTTTTTAATGGAATTAAACAAGTGATTTTTGGCTCTATGCAAAGATGGGAACAAAACCAGCACACAGCTTGGTTCAGTTTGCCCCATCAGCATGTGATTGGGTTCTTGATGGGGCTGTAACAGTCTGAGCAAGCAGAGCGGAAACTTCCCTAACGGATTTCTAGCCTTGTTGTTAGAATTAGTTATGCTGCTCCATTTCTAAACAAATCCAGCAAGCAGACTGAAATTCCTCTTTAGCACCTGTCTGTTGCATTGTAGCCATGATGACGATGGGCATACCCAGCACTTGCTTTAGCTCATAAATAGAAGTGTACTTTTGTTCTGCCTTCTTTCAAGCAAACCTTCTTTGTGTCTTTAACATCCAGCTATGTTAAGTGCAAACAAAAGGTTTGGGGCTTTTGGATTTTTTTACAAACAAGCTCATTGAAGAAAAGCTTTATTTAGAAAGGGGAAGATTTAAACTTTTTTTTTTAATTAAATATCAAAGGCGGGATATATTCATTTAAAGAGGCCTGGTTATAGAAGCCATGAGATGGTGGGCTTTCTCTCTAGCTTTCAACTTTTAATTATGATGCTGAAGTGGGGTAAATGTGTTCTGACACTAGGAGTATCTGTCATAGAGTCATTCCACAAATCTAAGAAACAAGCAGTGTTCAGGAGACCCCAAGATGTAACACTCTTTGTTTAATTTTGTTGAGATTATTTAGGTAAAAGTACCAAGTGAAAAATATTATTGCAGAAGGAAGCTTGAAGATTAGCATCACATTATGTGTAGGAATCAAAACAGTTTGACAGTGCTTTAACTTCTTGGTTTTATCAAATAGTATCAGCACAAAGAGCTTGTTTTCCCATTATAGTAAGAAGCCCTGCACTTTTACTGATGGCTGCTATTAAAAATATCATATCTGATGTCTGCATTTTGTTTCCACAGTAAACTTGGTGCTAGAGAAGTCTGGGCTAGCTTAGTCTTAGAAATAACTAAACTTATTCATTTCCACTGTGTGTGTCTATCTCATGCAAACCCAGCCTAGCCAGGGTAATTTGCAGACATTGTTAATGAGAGGCTGGCTTACTATTTGTCTACCTTTCTTCCTTAACATTAAAGAAACCAGTGAAATCATCAGAACAGTTTTATACATAAACCTTTATCAGACAGTCTGGCATTGGTTTCGAATAGCTACGGTCCAACAGGAACTTTGCCCAACTTATAATGGGTGTATTGTGAATTATGTTGTATCACTGTAACAGCTTTCTCAGCTGCCTGTACAGCAGAGTTGCAATTCAAATAATTAATTAATCCTATTTTGTAGCTAATTAGTGCAGTGAAGGAGGTTCCCAAAATACAAACTGTTAAGGTTTGATTTGGAAGTGGAGTACCTGGCCAGCTCTCTGATAAACTTCTTTTGATGCAGAACAGGGACTGCAGTTACAGAGTGTCATTCCTAATTTGTGAAAACCGTTAAAGGATTGAAGAAAAGTTCTGGCTTTTCTAGAGCCAGAAATCCAACTGAATGAGTCATGTGCTCTTGTTAGTCTTTTTAAAGGTTTCAGTAAGTGCTTTGGAAAAACATTTCTGTGTTACAAAGTGGGTCCTACCAGGGCATGTATTTGTTGGAGTAAATATTGACTGCTCCTCAGATGAGGAAAAAAAGTACTTTGGTATCATAGAATCACAGAATGTTTTGAGTTGGAAGGAACCTTAAAGCTCATCCAGTTCCACCCATGGGCAGGGACACCTGCCACTAGACCGGGTTGCTTAAAGCCCTGTCCAATCTGGCCTTGAACACTGCCAGGGATGGAGCAGCCACAGCTTCTCTGGGCAGCCTATGCCAGGGCCTCACCACCCTCATAGGGAACACCTTCTGCCTAAGAGCTCATCTCATTCTCCCCTCTGTCAGTTTAAAGCCATTCCCCCTTGTCCTGTCCCTACAGGCCCTTGTCAAAAGCCCTTCTCTGGTTTTCTAGTTGACCCCTTTAGGCACTGGAAGCTGCTCTGAGGTCTCCCCAAAGCCTTCCTTCTCCAGGCTGAACAAGCCCAGCTCTCTCAGCCTGTTTCCTTAGCAGAGGTGCTCCAGCCCTTGGAGCATCTTTGTGGCCTCCTCTGGACTTAGCTATTTGATCAGTCGGAACACTTTTCACTTGACTTCTCTATAAAATATTCTTACCTGCAAGTGCTCCCTAGCTGCTGGTGTACCTTGCTGTGCTGAACAATATACATATGAAATTATACTTTCTATCCAATGAGTTAGCTGCCCTTTTGCATGACCGAAGACAGCAGTGCTACCAATTCAACAACAGGGCAATGCTGGTCTGTGTGGTCAATGCTTGTCTGAGTACTGAAGCAGCCAGGCTGCTGTCAAACTATGCAGCAGAGGAGGGTCTTAAGGAAATACTTAAAGGGGTGTTTTAACGATTGCTAGGGAATGCTATGTGTGTGCTTTGTAATTAAAATGGATAGACAAGCAGCTAATGTAGTCAGATTGTTCTAATGGCAATGCCTGACCTAGATTTCATGGGTTATTGAAGATGAAAGTTAATAGCAGGGTTTATCTCAGAAAGGGGTATTGGGTAAAAAACAAACACACCCCTTCCACCCTCATTCCCTCCCCCCCCCCAAAAAAAAAAAAAAAACAAATAAACCAGCCAACCAGAAGAATGATTTGCTGCAAAAGTTAAAGGAGAATATTTTATCTTTTAGACTAGCCAAAATTGTAAGCCACAATTTCACAATCAGTAGAAGATTGAATGCTTCCTTCCCTCCTTCCCCCACTCCCCCGGCACACTGCCTTGCAGGAATGTGGTTTCACGCCCTTCTTCTCTGTCAACCAAATTCCAAAAGGGTAATTTCTTACATAACTTAGTTTAGATTGTGAGCTGTGTAAGCGGGGGTGGAGGGGAAGGGCCCCATACTGAAGTGTTTAGAAGAATAAAATTAGCTTATACTGTTTGAGATCTTTAAGTTATTTAAATTGGCACTTATTGGAAACATCTTTTTTACGGTCTTTAAAATAGGATATTCTGAATTCATCGCGATCTTTCCTGATCTCCTTCAATACTATCTGAGAAGTTTAATGCTGAAATGCTTGTATTTCTGGTTTATAAACCTAGGCAGAGAAAACAATTAAAACTTTGAAGCGCTTGTAAGGCTCCATAAAGCAAAAAAAGGGACTGTTTTCATTCCTGATGAAAATAAAACTGATTCTGAAAGCCAAGAATGACATTTCTAAAATTTGCATTAAAAAAAAAATGAAGATTGAAAATAACATCTTTCCTTGATTTACACAGCTTAAAATATTAATTTTTTACCAAGGAACTCTGACAGAAATGTTCCTGTTATTAGTTGCCCCATCTCCTCCCAACCCTAGGCTATTACTCACTGCCTAAGTTCATTGACCAGGTAAAATGAAAGAGATCTTCTGTCTTAATTTTATAACCTGTACCACTTTCCAGGATAGCCTTGGTGGCAACAGCAAGACTGCTATGGTAGCAACAGTAAGCCCAGCAGCAGACAATTATGATGAGACCCTTTCAACACTGAGGTATGCAGACCGGGCGAAGAACATTGTTAATCATGCTGTAGTGAATGAAGACCCCAACGCTCGCATTATTCGGGAGCTCCGTGAGGAAGTGGAGAAGCTGCGAGAACAGCTCACAAAAGCAGAGGTACAAATTATAGCCTTGACTAGTCAGTAAAACCTCTAAACCCCATTGTCAAGACTTTCTTACCTGGCTTGAATCATGGAAGCCTCAAAGAATGTCTACATGTTGTCTATGAAGAATTTGCCTTTATATTACTTCTTTCCATTTTTCTCTACATCAGTCTTGAAACACGTGTGATAATATGAGATACCAGGTTCTGTCTGAACACATTGTTGAGCAATCTTGTTTTATTGTGAGGTACAGATCAAAAGCAAGAGGTGGTGGAGGGAGGAATAAGGGTGAACTCTCAACGTTGTGTAGTTTATACGCAGAGCTTAGCCAATATATTTTAGGAATTCAGTGTGGCTGCATCCTGTGAGGTGTGAATTCAGTTGAACAATGCTTGCTTGCTTACAAGCTTAACTCTTCTCCATTGAATCTCAAACAGGAACTAATTGATACTGTGAATATCTGCATAGCTACCTCAATGAAACTGTGAAAGGAACATGGTCTAAATGTTAGATGAAGGCCAAGAACTAACATAATCCTGAGTTCTCTTCTCAAATGTGGCAAAGCAATGGTGATATAATCCGTCTGTTTTGCAATTCAGAAAAATATGATTACAATATTTGTCTCATGAGGTATGCAGGAAATGTTGGCTGTGATGTTAGAAATGACTAGTGAGTTTTTACTGTTCTCATTTGAGCTGCCTAATATGCTAAGCATACAGTAAGTGTATATCAGTTTCTTTAAGGTATCTCAAGTTAAATATCTAAAAATCCCTCTAAAATATGAACCACAGACTCAACAGTACACTGAGAGATACAAGTACTTCCTATTTATTTCATTTGTGAACATTAATGCCAAAATAATGGCAGCTTTCCAAAGTAATGAAGTAGTGTTTCCTCAATATGAAGTAATACATATTTCCTTTCCCAAGTATTAAAATCCCACCCTAGTTGTCATCTCAGTGGCCTTGACAAAGCTCATGGAAAAAAAGATGTAGTTTGCCCTATTAAAAGGCTACACAGTGAAGGTCAAAATCCATATACTTTGTCTTGTATTCCCTTTAGTTTATTGTATTTTTGGCCCATCTATTTGTTCTTACAGAAATGTGTATAAACAACTTGAACAAAAGTGTTGACCTGTTATGACAGCCAGGCTACATTTTTAAAGCTTGTTTCCAAATATAGAGGTTACCAAACTGTGGGTTTGGATTTTTTTTTTTTTCCCTTTTGGTGTCCATATCCTTTTCTCTCCTAAACAGCCATGGCAGAACAGAGTTCGGCATTTCACTTTTTTACCTCAGAAGAGTAAAGCATTAGCCTCTTTTCCCCCCTTTTTTTTTCATCCACACATCTCTTCTTTTCAAAATTGATATCCCATGTTTTAACATCTGTGCCAAGACCACCAGATTGTCCTTCCTAAGCTGGTAATTTAAACCAACTGCTTTCAGCATAGAAGCACACATGCAGGTCTGGTGTGAACCTCGGCCCATCTATCTGTTTATATAAGCATTGTAGGTAGTGAGGAGGATTACCTAGCTCATTTTACAGTTGAAGCATGTGAAAATGTTGAGTAATTTTGCCTCGGGTCAAAATAAATGGCCAAACAAGATTTAGACTTCGAGAGCAACTGGCCTTCATCTGCCTGTCTTCCATAGCATCCAGTGTCTTTGCACCAATGATATTTTATCACTCATAATACGTCTTTGTTCTGGAGACTGCCTTGGCTTCGTTTTCCTTCCCAGATGGAATTGATGTTCCCTTTTATCCTGTATTTAGATATTTAAACCTGGAAAAGATTACACAGGACACATCAGCTGTCAGTTCCTACTGTTGTGTCTTGAGGCAGAGGAAATTCCTGTCTTAGGACAGGATTTTCTGCTTCTGGCACTTGCTCCTTTTCTTGCACAAACTGCAGTGTAATGAGGCCAATCTGATTTGGATTCCCCTGAAGAGTGTTGGCTTTGTGGGAAGGGAGTGTGTGATGGACAGCAATGCTTGCATTGTTTAATTGGCATTGCATAAACACATATCAGCCAAAACCATTTTCATCTTGTTAGCAGTAATGAAATAATCATAGAATAGTTAGGGTTGGAAAGGACCTTAAGATCATCTAGTTCCAACCCCCCTGCCATGGGCAGGGACACCTCACACTAAACCATATCACCCAAGGCTCTGTCCAACCTGGCCTTGAACACCTCCAGGGATGGAGCATTCACAGCTTCCCTGGGCAACCCATCCCAGTGCCTCACCAACCTTACAGTAAAGAATTTCTTCCTTATATCCAATCTAAACCTCCCCTGTTTAAGTTTTAACCCATTACCCCTTGTCCTATCTCTACAGTCCCTAATGAATTGTCCCTCCCCAGCATCCTTATAAGCTCCCTTCAGATACTGTAAGGCTGTTGTGAGGTCTCCACACAGCCTTCTCCAGGCTGAACAGCCCCAACTTTCTCAGCCTGTCTAGAGAAGGAATATACCAGTGCCAAGACTGGAGGATGTAAATATAAGTAGCATAAAAAATATATTCTTTCATTTTTTTGAGAGTTTGATGCATGCGGGGGGATGGGGGTGGGGTGGGTAACTTCTTATCTCAAGTTAGTCCTTGGGTAGAACATGGCCCTTTGACTATTTCACAGAACAAAATTAGAGCTATGATGGATTAGCAAGAAACCTGAATTCATGTGTCTGGAAGCACACATTAAGGTTCCTTTCTAGGCTTTATCCACTTCGTAAAATACGTAAGTAAATGCAGAGGCGGATAACCAGAGCACCTCAAATGACTTCGTGTTTGGTATAGAAAGAAAACAATGACACCCATCAGGCCATATCAAAATGAACAAGAAAAATATTTTGGTGGTATATCAATTTGAGTGACTGAGATGTCACGTTCCATTTTGAGGGAACAACAGCTGAGAGGATGGTGGCTGGCCCGATCAGCAGTATTTTCAGGAACAAGGTTGGTTTAGATATGAGTTGTTTGGGACACTCATTTTGCGTTTTAATATCTTTGTGCAAATCTGCCATCATCATGTAATTGGTTTGCATTGAAGTCTATAAACTCCAGCATCTGTACTTGAAACTAATTAAACTAAGATTTGGATGGATTCTGCATTTATATGCAGTATGTATTTTAAAAATGCATTTACTTACTGGTAAGCATGCCTTGAAAAAATGAGTAGAGTTATGTTTCCTTTTTTTTCCCAATCTGTGTGACAGCAGTGTGAATGGAAGAAAAGCACAACAAGCTTTCTTCTTCTGTTTCTGCAGGCTATGAAATCACCAGAATTAAAAGAACGATTGGAGGAATCAGAAAAGTTGATTCAGGAAATGACTGTGACCTGGGAAGAAAAATTAAGAAAAACTGAGGAGATAGCACAGGTTTGCCGCTTTCTTTTCTCCTCCTTTTTTTAAATGAAAAATAGGTTTGTTTCCTTTGTCTGTCAGTTCATAGTCAGAATATCTCCCCACATTTAGGGTAAGTAGGTCAAGCTTCCTGTCCTTTTGAAAAGCTTCACTTAATTCCTGTGATAGCTGGGGGCATCTCAGATTACTATTCCAGTGACAATAATAAATTGTCACTGCATGCAAATGGAGAAGTTATTTAAAAAAAATAATAATCCATGGATGAGAGGATTACAGGGGGTTTATATTCTTCAGACAGTAAAATCATTGTTTGTGATGGAAGATGAGAGCATTGGGAGTGTTAAATGCAAGGTTATTTACACAGAGCCTCAATATACAAGGCAAAGGGCATTCAGAATATTGAAAAATAGCACTGTTCAGGATCCCTGTGTGTTTTAAGACCTCTTACACTGATATTTAGGGCCTCAGACCGTAATTGAATATGATGGTTACATTGAAAAGTTGTGCAGGTCACCATGATTATTGCATGACACCTCGAGTTCTTACCACACAAGCGCTGATGTATGTGTTTGCAGTAGGGAGCTTTTGAGGGGGAGGTCTATTGAAAGGTGATGAATAGTATGTAATAAATAAGAAGAAAGTGGAGCCTCTGATACAAAGCCCTCTTGTAGATGACACAATTAGAATAGACTGTGTTGATTCTGGCTTTAAAGATCCATTGTAAGAAGTGCTGCTTGTGACTACGAGGGCTTCCTGGCTTTCAATGCAGATTCATACATGGATTTTCCTCCCTATGTATAAGGGTGGAAAAAACTAAAAAATAACAGTAAGATTTCTGCTTTCATCCTACACAATAGTTTCTCGGCACACAAACCCTGAGTGTTCGAGGAGATTGAAAAATTAGAGTGATGGCCTCAGTGGTACAGATTAAATCTGCCTCGATGTTTGCACATTTGCTTTAGCTCTCCTGCTCTTTGTCTCTAAATTTGCAGTCTGTTACGATGCTTCAGAGCTGAGAGTCTGGTGAACAGACTGCTCCAGTGTGGATCCTTTCCAAGTGGTGCAGTCCTTCAGGAACAGGCTGCTCCAGCGTGACTGCCACAGGGTCACAAGTCCTGCCAGCAAACCTGCTCCAGCCTGGGCTCCTCTCTTGATGATCCTGCCAGGATCCTGCTCCAGCAGGGGCTTCCCATGGGGTCACAGCCTCCTTGGGGCATCCACCTCCTCTAACATGGGGTCCTCCATGGGCTGCAGGGGGATATTTGCTCCACTATGGACCTGCATGGGCTGTGGGAGCATAGCCTGTTTCGCCACGCGCTGCAGGGGAATCTGCTCCAGTGCCTGGAGCACCTCCTCCCATTCCTTTTTCACTGGCCCAGGGGTCTGCAGGGCTGTTCCTTTCACATGTTCTCACTCCTCTGTCTGGCTGACATTGCTCTTGTCAAGTAACTCTTTACCCTTTTTAAATACATTATCCCAAAGGCCCTACCACTGTTACTAATGGACAGTAGCACAGCAGGGGTCTGTCTTGGAGCTAGCTAGTGTTGGCTCTGTCAGACATAGGGTAAGCTTTTAGCAGTTTTTCGTTGAAAGTACCCCTGTAGTCCTCCCCGGACTACTAAAACCTTGCCACGCAAGCCCAGTACAGTAGGCTTAGACAGGTCCAAGGTTAAATTCATTTATATCATGGCTTGTCATGTGACTTTATTTCTGGCCAGCATCCACTACCATCTGTCTTTTCAAATTATATCAGGGGAGGCAGGTAGGATAGAAAGGTAATTGTAAATCTCTGAGGAAAGGATGATTCCTCATAAAGGCTGAGGGCCATCAAAGGCAGTTTGTAGGGATGGAGCGGCAGTAATGGTTCAAAGCCTTAAAGACTGTGTGAACAGGCAATTTTTTCACATTTTCAGTGAAAGTTTGACATACTTTTAATGTAATTTGAAAGTTTAAGTTAATTAACGTTAGGTCTTGAGCAAAAGTTAAACAGGCTCATTATCTTTAAGTTAATCCTATGAGATTTTGACTGTGGGCCAAGTCCTCCTTTGGGCAACACGTTCTTTATCTCTGTAGATAATAAGGGATTCTGTGAACTTCGGAGCCTGGCACTGGTGATCGGAAGAGAGATCTTTGACATCATACTGCAGTTTTTTTTTCTGTTCTTTGTGTTTTTTTTTTTCTCTCACACACATGACTTTTCCGTATGAGGACCATTATGTCAGTTTTGTAAGTGTGTGGGGACAAAGGGTAGAGAAAATCACAAGCAAGTTGTGCTGGATATTCTTTGCAATTTTATTCTTGATTAGACCTGCTATAGCCCCAGTGCTGAGCAGAAAATTTCACTGAATAGTATGACATATCTAATTTTTAAATACAAAGCAAATTGGTAGGTAAAGGTCAGAACCTTAATAAATACTCCAGCATTATTCCTACATAATCTCTGCTAATTTTAGGGTTTTTTTTAATTATTATCCTCCTCCCCTGTTTCTTCTTCCCTGTAATAATTGTGTGAGAGGCCTTCCAAGTTTATTTTTTAAATGTTTTTTGCTGTTGTGGATAGTGAGTCTCATTTCAGTTTCTGTATGATCCTGGGAACAATCCTCAACATTTCTATTGCAATGCTTTTTATTAAAGAATCCCTTTCGTTTTTTTAAGTCAGAAACGCTTAATGTTCCTCTTTCACTGCTCTAGTCTTCACCCAAACACTTCCCTTTGAAAGATGTACATTTTTGCACAGTAATGCTTTGTTGTTGAATTCTATGAAGTCTATTGACAAGAACAAAACACCATCCAAAGTGCTACTATTCTTGTTCAGCAGGAAGTGTTATTTGCATTAGTTAAATAGCAGGTTGCCAGTTTTTTGTCATTTTGATTGCTCTGGAACAAAAGATAGACATGGAGCTTGACTTGGCAGGGATTTAACTTAACTTGTTGCTTTTTAGCTCAAAAGAGGAAAATAAAGGGCTCTAGAGATGTCTTTGTGGTAGCATTTTGCTGTTCCAGTGAGGTCATGGAGAAGCTCCTACAGTACTGCAGTGTGCTTTTCTCGGCTGTTTTCATTTTCCACTGGGAAGATGCAACTGTGTGAGACCGTAGCACGTAGCCCTCGGAGAGCAGAGGTGGAAGGACAAGAGAAGCTACAGATACCCTCATCAAAAATGATATAATTAGGGGGTTTGTGTCTAATCTCGTGCAGAAGAGTTACCTTTCTCAGAAGCAGCAGTTCATCATTTTGTCGTGTGGCTTTGGCAGATACGAATGCATTTCTGAAGGGCTGTACATCAGTCCACTTAATTTTGATGGCTGCTTTCTTGCAGGAGCGTCAGAAACAGTTGGAAAGCCTTGGCATATCTCTTCAGTCTTCTGGAATAAAAGTTGGAGATAATAAATGCTTCCTGGTTAATTTGAATGCAGATCCAGCTCTCAATGAACTTCTGGTATACTATTTAAAGGTAAAAATAAATATATATTTTTTTAATAGAATTAAGCTGTAATGCCACTGGCAGAGGTACACTTGGAAAATTTTATCAAAGCTGCACATCTAAAGCATTCTCCAGTATTCACTGCTTCATTAAAAATGATTACAACCTTTTTTTCAAATTTAATTCTTCATAGTAGAGGAAGGTTTGGGTATTTTATGGTTTTGGTTTGTTTTTTTGACAGAAATTTAAAAGTGCTGTCTTTAAGAAACTATCCCCTGGTTGCAGGAGGAGGGGGCTGTTGTGTTTTTTTTTTTTTTTTTAATGCCAACATTCACAGTGTTTTACTCAGGAAACTGTTTTATATAAAGATTGGGCATATCAATAATCCTCTTGCTTCTACATATGTAGTCCAAATTCTGACTGCTATCTGCAGTTTATAAATTGCATTTTTTTCCTCTAAGTGGAACTTGCCAGGAGTGACAATCACGTTCTGTTCTGCCTTAGCACTTCTGTTGATATACAGTCCCCATTACTGATGTTAAACATAAAACATGTGATGTGACTTCTGGACTCTGCACTGAAACATTTGGGCAGTTTGTTCTAGTTTAACGAACTGTAGATGTGATCTGGAGCCAGGAGAAATGAAGTGCACCCATTTTGAAGTCGCATTTTAGAGTGCAAGTTCTAACATTTTATCAGTATAAGAACATCAGCAGCCTGAGCTTCACATCAAGTCATTTTCTTCTCTTTGAAGTGGTCTGTAAAAACTTTCAAAACAGCCACAAAATTAGCAATTGGGCTGAAAGATAGGTTTGGTTTAGTTGGTCTGAGGAAATACATTATCCTCTTTAATATTAGTCACTGTTGCTCTGTGGTATCTTCATGAAAGCAAGGGAAATAACTTTTTCAATGTTGTATCTGCTAAGAAGTATTAAGAAAGACAAAAGAGCTGAGGTTTTGGAAGAAGAATTGAATTCTTTCCAGACACCTTTCATGTAGGTGTCCAGTGTATGACTCAAGCTGCTAAATCAGTCTTGGCACTGACAACTGTTGGAGCAGCGCCGGCTTCTGTGGTGTTCATTGGGAACACATGACAAGAGCGTGCTGAGACCAAAGCCTAATCAGAAAACAGGCTTTGGCTCATCAGCACCAGCAGAAAAGTCTCAGGTGGTACTGTGCTGCTTTCTGTTTTAGACAAAACCCCTTTGCATGGGGTAGGCTTTGTGTGTTTCAGTTACTTTATTATTATTTTTTTAATAATACAGATTTGTATTGTTAGTTGAGAATTCTGGTGTTGAAATCCCTGTGCTTTTAAATTCTTCTGATAAAATGACCTAGACCTGTTTTGCCTGAAATTCTGAGATTGCTGAGCTGCAGATGTACTCGATCTTAAAAGTACTGAAGAATGATTTGACCTGACTTATCTAGGCTGTAGTATCGGTTCCTCAGAAATTGGTTAGAGATACCTAAAAAAGAAATGGATGGGTTGGGGCATGTGTAGCATGATCCTTCATTTGTCAAATCCGTCATGTCTTGAGTACTTCAGAAATTTCCTAAGCTGTTGGAACCAGCATAATAGCTGTGGATCTAACCATTGAGAACCTGTCTTATTTCCTCTTTGAACTCTTTTATTTTTTAGTTTTTGCTTCTACAACATCCCAAGGCACTGACTTCTGCAATTAAATTATAGAAACCTCTTCATCACAGGATTTAATTGTTGTCTGTAAACTTTCCTGAGTGCTCCTACTTGTTACTGTTAGCCAAAGCAAGGATTTGCTTTTGCAATGTATCATTCTTCTTTTTCCCTTCTAAGTGAAGTATTAAGTAGCTTCCAAATTTGAATCTAGATGAAAAGGTACATCCAGAAGGAGAATGGATTGATTAGAACAAGTGAACTTTTGCAACCCATTGCTAACATCTGAATTAATTTTCCCCAGGAGCACACATTAATAGGCTCAGACAACTCTCAAGATATCCAGCTGTGTGGAATGGGAATTCTTCCTGAACACTGCATTATAGACATCACCCCAGAAGGACAGGTTATGTTAACACCTAAAAAAAATACTAGGTAAAGGAATAAAATACAGCTCCTGTTGTATAATAATTGTAGTTTTATCTAGTATTTTATGACTATTGGTGCAAAAAGATAATTAGAAAATAAACATTTCTTTCTGTTTTTAAGGGAGGAAATTCTACTTCTTGTATCTTGTTTTCACATTTTGCTGTCATTTAGCCCTCTGTCAACTCATCTTTCATTTCTGAGATTTCTCTCAGTGATGGTGTTGTAAGTTCTCAAAGAGGATGAGCAAATTGCATGTGCTTTCAGCAATGAGATACTGATTTGCAGCTGTGTAGCTGTAACTGTCAAAATTTGAATTAATTTTCTAGGAAATCTGTTGATATGCAAAGAGCTGCTGAAGCATTTGTTGCTTTATTTGATTAAGTAGCAGTACTTGAAAGGCAGATGGTATATTCAAATTGATCACAAAATGGCTTGCATTGTCAGCATCTCTAGTAATTTATTGTTAGGTACACAAAATTCAGCAATTTCACATTTCCCATCATTTGTAGTTGATCCTGCTTTGGGCAGGACATAGGGACTGGATGACATCATGAGTTTCCCTTCAAATTTGAGTTATCCTATGGTCATATTTTCAAACTTAATCTGATTCTGAAATAAAAGTAGTTTCTGATTATTCTTAGTTTATTGTCTTTAAGCCATTTATATAGCAAAGGTCTCTAATGTCTTATTCAAATGTTACTATTTTGTGTCTGCATTTCAAAGTACTGTGAAAAGTGTTTATTTGTAGCGACATTATCTTTTTTCAGGTCCCTCATTTTTAACCTCTAATTATACTCCCCAGATATAGCTGTTATTATCTATCCAAAAACACTGAACTCCATAAGCAGTCAAAAGAAGCTGCTTTTGAGGATTTTATGAAACAGCACAGTAGATCAGTGAAGTTTCTGGAGATATTTTGCCTGTTTGCTGCAATCCATAAACCTGTTCTTCTTCTCTAACTATTTGCAATAATAAAGTAGTACTGGGATAAAAAAAAAAAACAAACCAACAAAAAACCTTATATAGATGTATTTGCTTTAGATTTTTGCCTTTTCACAGGACATTCGTAAATGGTTCTGCTGTCATGTGTCCTATCCAGCTACATCATGGAGACAGAATACTGTGGGGAAACAACCACTTCTTCAGGTACAAAAGACATTAAAGAAATTATAAGTTTGTGCCAACTTGGTTTTATCTTAAGGTATAAAGAAAGAAGTCAGTGGAGCATTCAAGCTTCAGGAGGAGGTGATTTCTTTTACATTGGGATTATAATCTTAGAATGGTTTGGGTTAAAAGGGACGTGAAAACTCATCCAGTTCCAACCCCCTGCCATCGGCAGGGACACCTTCCACTAGACCAAGTTGCTCCAAGCCCCGTCCAACCTGGCCTTGAACCCTGCCAGGGATGGGGCAACCACAGCTTCTCTGGGCAACCTGTGCCAGGGCCTCACCACCCTCACAGGGAACAACTTCTGCCTAAAAGCTCATCTCAATCTCCCCTCTGTCAGTTTAAAGCCATTCCCCCTTGTCTTTGTAAAAAACCCCTCTCCAGTTTTCTTGTAAAAAGGCAGTGCTGATGAATGATTGTTCTTGAATACTAAATATTATAACAACTGTGCTTATTTTCAATTTTGGAGCACTATCTTGACTTAAATTTTGTATTTTCAAAGGGACTGTAATCTTGCTGATGAGGACCTTGCTGTGGTTACCAATAATATTATCTCATCAAAGAGATTTAATTTTTGAGCTGGTGTCTTTAAGGTGGCTTGGTACCACATTAATACTAAGTACGTTCTACTCCACGGTGAAAATATTACACCCAAGCCTTGACTTGGGTAGGTTGCATTTTGGATTTTGCAGATAAGGTATTAGATTGTTGACCTATGTTATACAGTGATCTGGGTCTTACAAATTTACTGTTTTCTGAGTTCCCTGGAGTACTGTCTCCAGACATACCTACACTCTTCCTCTATCAGACAGGATCATTGATAAGAGTTTTCAATGAAAGACTCAGTTTTTGAAACCCTCTGTGGTGGGTGTGAAATACCTTAAAGGTTAGTGGGTTTAAATGATAATCTAAAACTAAATTGGTTTCATTTATGCTTGAAAGAAGAATCTGTATAAAAAGAGAGATAAATTTTCATTATTGCCTCTAAATTATTTGAATATGTGACAACTGAAAAAATTAATGGTCATCTAAACTATATGATTAGTAATGGCAGGTATTCTCTATTATTAGAGTGTAGAATAGATTAGTTTGCCTTGAACTCCCCTTTTTACACTGAGGAAAACTACACTCGTAGATCAACAGATTTTGAAAGGCAAAAACTTACAGATTTGGATAATCTACTTTATTTTAATAGTCTTTGAAAGCAACCCTTTGTTTCAGAGTTGAGCAATTAATAGTCCTTTAAAAATTTTCCTGTTTTTGAAAGGCTGAATTTGCCAAAGAAGAAAAAGAAGGCAGATCATGAGGATGAAGAGCGAGACAACTCTATGAAGTGCAGTAATAGTGTTGAACAGCTGGACATAGATGGGGACAATTCCAGTGAAGTGTCTAGTGAGATTAACTTCAGCTATGAGTATGCTCAGATGGAAGTCACTATGAAGGCGCTTGGTAGCAATGGTAAGAAGCCACAGAAATTACTGGAAGTATGTACAGAATACGGGGTTACATCTTCGGGGACTTTTAACCTCAGACTTTTTCCCTCATAACTTCCTACCGGTGAATTTTTCTTGTGAATGACTCATCATAGCCATTTTTGCAATTGGGGGGGGGGGGAACATTGCAGACTGTTTGCTTTGGCAGTTCTTGTCGAGGAAAAAGCCAAAACTGGAACACTGGTGGAATTGCAGCCTGCTATCAAAGTGTTTTCACTTTGTTGTTGTTGATTTTTCTTGTGTTATGTCTCACTCAGTCATTAACTCCCTTGATTTCTGTCTCTGAAACCATGTTCTTTGGTTTTTGTGGTATTATGTAGCTGTCCCAGAATGACATTAATTTGGGAAACAGGAAGAAGTTTTTTCAGCTTGTTCTTTTGCTTTTCTGAATTCTCTTCAATTATCCATCCAGTCTGTTCTGTAGATGTTTATTTTGTTCAACACTTCAGCAACTTTTTTTTATTATGCATTACAACAAAAATGTAATCTCTTCCTCCTTTTATATGATAACTGTATTTACTGTCTAGGACATTCCTCACCATGAATTTCAGTGGCTATCTCAGGCCCTAATATGGATAACAGCAGATAGAGAATGGAGAAGGAAAGTACCAAAACATAATAATTTCCACCTTGCTCAAAGTCATACAGCATCTCTGTAGCAGAACATGGGAAAAATCTCGTATTTCAGAGTCCCCCATCTCTGCCCCATTTTCATTACATGACTGTTTCAATTTGAATTTTACGATTAACAGGAATTTGACCCCCAGAAGTACTAGCTTCTTTATTTTCAACATCTGCTTAGATCCAATGCAGTCAATCTTGCAAAGCCTGGAACAGCAACATCAAGAAGAGAAGAGGTCTGCACTTGAACGACAGAGGCTGATGTACGAACATGAACTGGAGCAATTGCGAAGGCGATTGTCGCCAGAGAAGCAGCATTTCCGCAGCATGGACAGGTTCTCTTTTCATTCCCCCAGTGCCCAGCAGCGCTTACGCCAGTGGGCGGAGGAGAGGTGAGTAATCAAATCTGACCCTCAGGAGTGTTCATTTAAAGTTCTTTAGTGCTAGTGATTTTTGCAGGATTTAATTGCATATCTCTGCAGAATTTCTGAGAGGACTCCTGTGGGGGACAGGGGAGGACAGGTTGAAAATATTGGAATAATCAGACCTATAATGCTAGAAAAGATAAGAAAGAATGAGTGACTGCTTTGTTGTTAAGGAGACACTTTCCTGATGAGCAATGAATTTGTCTAACAAGGTGATTGGAAGACATTTTGAGACTCCCATATGAGTTTGTTGTTCTGTGGATCGTGACTCAGCTGCTGGAAGGTTGTTTTTACTCTTGACTCCCATCCATCTGTCTGAGCTGGACAGGTCTTGACAACTAGAAGAGTGCAAAAAGAAAAGGGAATAGAAGGATGATAAGAAGAATTTTGATCCAGAGCAATGCAAAACTTGTTCAATAACCACAGAGGAGCCACTGTCCTCTTTGCCTCTTTCTAGGCAACTGCACTGAGGTTATTTACTTCAGCCTCTAATGATCTTTGCCAGTATTACTGTCAAAAGAGAAGCTGCAAGAGGAAGATGAAGCTTACCCGAAAACAAGGAGTATGATAAAAACATTGTAGAAATCTAATTTATATGTCTAGAGAAGCAATCTTTGAAATATTTTCGAAAATATTTGAGAAAGCCTATCAAGGTATTAGCTCTGTGACTGGAATATTTTGTGGTACCAGATTCCTGTGTTGCACAGTTGGTTCACTCTGACGCTTGTCAGGAAAGCCAGTGAGCAAGTGGGTATGGTGTCTGAATAAACCTTTCTCTGTAAATGGAGCATCCACATCTGTGGTGGGGAAACTCTGGAATAAGCCACACAAGAGCTGACTGTTCAGCAGATGCATGGAGAAGTCTCCAAAGCCAGCAGTATGTTAATGTTTATACTGCTAAACTCATAATCTTATTTGGTTGGGTTGGTTTTGGGTTTTTTCCTTCAGAAGAAATGAAATTTAATTTACCTGATTTTTATGTTAAAAATCATAGAATGGTTTGGATGGAAGGGACCATAAAGTTCATACATTTCCAAACCCCCTGCCATGGGCTTCTCTAGAGCCAGAAGTCCCATTGAATGAGTCATGCTCTCTTGTTAGTCTTTTAAAAGGTTTCAGTAGATGCTTTGGAAAAATATTTCTGTGTTACGAAGTGGGTCCTACCAAGCCATGTATTTGTTGGAGTAAATATTGGCTGCTCCTCAGATGAGAAGAAACCCACATAGAAGCATAGAAGGGTTTGGCTTAGAAGGGACCTTAAAGACTGTCTAGATCCAACCACCCTGCACAGGGACACCTTCCACTAGAAAAGGTTGCTTAAAGCCTTGTCCGACCTGACCTCGAACACGACCAGGGATGGGGCAGCCACAGCTTCTCTGGCCAACCTGTGCCAGGGCCTCACCACCCTCACAGAGGAGAGCTTCTTCCTTCTTCTCATCCCAATCTCCCCTCTGTCAGTTTAAAGCCATTCCCCCTTGTCCTGTCCCTACAGGCCCTTGTCAAAAGCCCCCTCCAGCTTTCTTGTTGGCCCTTTTAGGCACTGGAAGCTGCTCTGAGATCTTCCCAGAGCCTCTGTTCTTCTCCAGGCTGAAAAAGCCCAGCTCTCTCAGCCTGTCTCCATAGCAGAAGTGCTCCAGCCCTCAGAGTATCTTCATGGCTTCCTCTGGACTTGCTGAGTCAGCCTGAAGGCTTTTCTCTTCAGCTGACTAGGGATACTTACCGCCCTAAGGATCTGTAACTCCACCATTTCATGGTCACTGCAGCCAAGACTGCCCTTGAGCTTCACATTCCTCACCATCCCCTCCTTGTTGGCAAGAACAAGGTCCTTGTTCTCTCCTCATTGACTCAACAGATATTGGGGTGGTTGAAGTCCCACATGAGGACCAGACTGCGAGGCAGTTACTATCTGTCTACAGAGGGCCTCATCCGCTTGGCCTTCCTGTTCAAGTCTTCTGTAGCAGACCTCCACTGTAATGTCACCTGTCCTTCCCTCTAATCTTGACCCATAAGCTCTCAGTCAGCTCCTCACCCATCCCAGGGGTTGCCCCATGTACTCCAGCTGGTCATTGACATATGGCGTGACACCCCCTCTTTGTCACCTCAGCCTGTCTTTCCTGAAAAGCCTCTATCCTTCCATTCCAAGACTCCACTCACAGGAGCCATCCCCCCACATCTTTGTGATACCAGTAAGATCACAGCCCTGCAAGTGTGTGCATGTCTCTAACTCCTCTTGTTTATTCCCCGTGCTATGTGCATTGGCATAGCGGCATTGAAGTGGGCCCCTAATGAAGCTGACTTCCCGATTGGATGTTGAGATTGCTTCCTGTCAAGGGATGATTTGTTTTGCACTCAGTTCAATATTTAAACGTTGTGATTTTTTTTTTTCCTGTCTCCCCTTCCATATCCCCCTCTTTTAGAGAAGAAATGCTGACCCACAGCCTGAGAAAGCTGCGAGAGCAGATTGTTAAAGCCAATTTATATGTGAGAGAAGCCAATTTTATCGGAGAAGAACTGGACAAGAGGACAGAATATAAAGTTACCCTCCAGATCCCAGCTTCAAGCCTTAATGCTAACAGTAAGGTAAGGTAGCCCTAATGGAACAAAATTTTTCAGTATGTTTGCCCTTTAGCATTCACGTTTGTTGTGTTATGACTTCAGTGGTCTAGCTAGTTTGCCAGTCTAGTCATGTGTATTAAATATGGCTCTGTTAGCACACGCTACATTCTAATCTTATTTCATTACCATGAAAACCTGATATATACTATCTTACTGATACCTGTATTGGTGCAAGTCCTTTTCAGTGGTGTTGAAGTTCAGACTTGCTTCTGTTGCATGGTGACAAAATCTGTGTAGGTTAGGTAACATCTGCTTCAAGTACTCACCATCTCCTTGTGGACGTTTGACTTTCCATCACCTAGTGAGCTGGGAAAATGCTGTCATCTCCATTGTGGAGGAAGGAGCTGGAGCAAAGAGGTTTTGGGTTATTTGTTCTGGGCTTAGAAATCATTGAAGGAGGGAAGTGAACCCAAACATCCATGTCTCAGGCTGGCTACCTAAGTTGGTATTATTCAAGTTCTTGGCATCAGCTCAGTATTTTGGGAATACTCATGCTGTCATGAGTACAGTAGATGTATTTTATTCCAGGATTAGAATTTTTATCAATTACTTTAAAATTGTCACTTGTCTGCTTTTTTTTTTTTTTTTTTTTGTTTTGCAGTCTTCTGACACACCTAGAAACAGGATGGTAAAGAGGGTTAAGTGTTTGCACTAGTTGAAAGTTGCAGACAGTAGTAATCTTATCTGGGACTCCAGGCCTGCTGTAACTTGATATTTATGAAATGCTTAAATGTTCCTACTTCTAATACTTACGTAAGGTGAAAAGCCATGGAAACTAGTGCCTGTAGTTGTGATTAGACTTCACAATTAAACTGCACACAAATATACTGTGACAGCCAAGCTCAGAGTCTGTCATACTTGAACTTCAAGCTAGAATTAAAAAAGAACAGAATCTAGACTTTTGCCAAAGATCTTCTCGGTTTTGTATTGGTTTTAAACTGCCTTTTCCTTGTTGTTACACAAATCACTTACTTATATCTCTAATTGTTTCATAGAGAGGGGCAATTCTCAGCGAGCCTGCTATTCAGGTGAGAAGGAAAGGGAAAGGCAAACAGATTTGGTCACTGGAAAAGCTGGAGAATCGATTGGTAGATATGAGGGATCTTTACCAGGAGTGGAAAGACTGTGAGGAAGACAACCCAGTAAGTAAAAATTACTCCAGTATTGTGCTGATAGAACTACATCCCTGTTAAATTTTATGTTTAAGCAGATGTGAGAAAATCTTCTGGTTCAGGAGGGGGAGGGTAAAGACTGGGAGAAAGTACATAGAGAGAGAAGTTTTTCTGAGCTTTTTCTTTTCCTGGTGCTGAAGTGGTCTTCAGCATGTCATTAAGCCTTTTTTGTCACTGATGCTTGTTTGCATACATAGTTTGGTGATAGAATCAAGTGTACAGTAAGAAGCCGTATGTAAACACAATAGCAGTTGAGGCTGACTTCTCTGTTTCTGGTGACATAAAGGAGAACTTGCTGAGGACAGGCCTTATACTTGATCCAAAGTAAAATTCAGGTTTCCATTCTTGTGATCTAGTCTAGCCTATTGCTTGAGTCCATTTTTCTTTCATTAGGTTGGTTGTGAAAGCCTTTTCATGAAAAGTTTGGTTTTCTTACATTATTATGAATTTGATTGAAGGTGATGAGGGCTTACTTCAGGCGAGCTGACCCATTCTATGATGAGCAGGAAAACCACAGCCTTATCGGAGTAGCTAATGTGTTTCTTGAGTGCCTCTTCTATGATGTGAAGCTGCAATATGCTGTTCCAATCATCAACCAGAAGGGAGAGGTTTGTCATTCTTCCATAATATATCCTTACTTATTTAATTGCAGCCTGTGGATCTCATTACCAGCATATAGCAGGTATTTTCCAGTTTCATATGGACAAGCTCTTTGCTAATGATTTGGAATTATGCAAATCACATACTAACTTGTTAGAGTTGTATAGGCAGTTCTGGTTCCCAGCATGGTGACTGTAAAATGAGGAAAAGCTTTTTAAGCAGCTTTGTGAGTGAAGCAACCCAAATAAATACTTCATAAAACAACTATGAGCCCCACTGGCTTTCACTGACTACTATCAAGAATAGGCTCTTAAATATATACTGTAAGAACAACTTCAAAGGCACCTAGAGCATGCCAGGTAACATTCTTCAATCTCTGGGTGTTTTTAATTCATTGCCCAGAGAAGCTGTGGCTGCTCCATCCCTGGCAGTGTTCAAGGCCAGAGTGGATGGGGCTTGGAGCAACCTGGTCTTAGTGGAAGGTGTCCCTGCCCGTGGCAGGGGGTTGGAACTGGTTGAGCTTTAAGGTCCCTTACAACCAAACCATTTTATGATTCTATGATTCTCTGTGTTGTGCATAACATGAACTTTGCAGACTCTAGAGACTGGTGTGAAGGTGAAATTGCAGTATGGTGTTCCCAAAGTTAATCTAGTGGCTGATTATTTTATAATTTTATAACAAAGGCTCTTTGAGCCTAGCTCCAAAGTGTTCATCTCATGCAACAAGTGCACAGTACAAGATAATAGAAAGGAATAAAATGTTGTCTGCTTACACACTGGAAGCAGCAGTAGCTGTAATTACCTGAAAAGGGAGGAAGCTGTCACTGTTTTCTGGCACACAGGTAATTCTTACTCTTTTTTTTTTATCAGGTGTCAGGTCGTCTCCACGTTGAAGTTGTTCGAGTTAGTGGAGAGATAGACGACAGGTTGGTTGGAGGTGAGGATAGTCCAGACTATTCAAATGAAAATGACGTTCAGGAGAGAAAGCTTGTCTGCAGGGTGAGTTCCAGTTACATCCCAACCTATGAGCAACTTTCTCTCTTTCCATCCAAAGTCTTAAATCTTAAAGAAGTCCCTGGTTTGTTGGCTTCTGGACCTTAGATGTCTCTTTGGAACCTTATGTATCATGTTTGCTTCCAGTATGCAGCCACAGAGGCAGAGTCCTGTCTTTGTACTCATTGATTGAGTATATGAAATTGTATTGATGTTTCAGGAGTAACAAATAATAAAAATAGGACAAATAATTTAGCTGTACCTAATGATTCAGTTGTATGCACAGAGTTTAATACTTTTGCTGTATTTGTTTCATGGCCTTATGTAATGACCTGGGTCCCAGTGTTTGTCCTGAAGCACTGCTGTGTTTTCTCATGGAATTTTATTTCTGGGGTGGCTAAAATAATACAAGATAACTAGATGGGGTTTGTTCCTTTCAGTCTCCATGATTTATTTATTTATTTTCTTTAAGTCTTCAAGGTATTAATTAAACTATATGCCCATAGAGTTCATTATAGTCTTGGAAATGAAAGATCTGTCCTCTAGGTTTGGAGCTACACTAATTCAAAAGGAGTCAGAACCTGATAAACTCCCATTGTTCTGTGAATAATTCTCAGCATTTCTCTCTCTAAATATTAGTTTGTGAAATACATACAGGTGTATTTATTATTGTCAATAATAAAAGAAAAGTGTTTACTAGCAGTTTCACATTGTAGTAAAACACAGGATAGGCTAAGCTACAGCTAAGAAAAGAGAGAGGCAAAAAGCACTAGGAGGGAATGGTACCCAACTTCGCTGGCTTCTGGACAAAATGAACAATTTGGGGGCAGCTGTATTCCTTTTTATGTTTTTTCCTGTCCCACAGAGCTCCAAGTGCTTGCAAGCAGTATGGGATATTGTTGCAGGAAACATATCCTCCTGAGGATCTTGAGTGCTGCCTTACTATAGAAGCCTGTCTAATTTTATCTTAACTTGACAAATGGGGAACAGAAGTTTATTAAATAGTATGGTTAATACAGTGGCTTCACTTAGATCAGAAGATACATACAAAACATTTTGGTTTCTATTCGGCCTTGATTTTGAACAAGAGGGCACAGGCTACTTCTGTATTGCTGAGCTTATTTTTGTGTTGTTTCTAGCATCACAGAATAAACAGGGATTTTTCAGGATAAAGTAGCCAGGTTTAGGTAGAATTACAAGATTTTCATTGTGTCCTTCTTAAATGACAATGTTTTCGTTGCATCTCACCATTAAAAACGAGCAAGATGTTTTGGTGTGTTTGTAAAATTCAGCCTTCTAGCTTTTACTCCCAAGAAATATGTGCCTGATGACATCTAGTGACCATGGTCAGCCAATGCACTCAAAATATTGCCACGTGTGTGTTGGTGCAGAAAGTCATATTTTGTGAGGGTTTTTTTGTTTTGTTTTGGGTTTTGTGGTTTGATTTTGTTTGGTTTGTTGGGGTTTTTGATTATCCTTTGGATATAGAGCAACATTGTTCCAACAGAAAATATTTTAATTCTATGTCTAATGAATAAGTGCTTTTCCTTCATTTCTCATCTCTTTTCTAGATTAAAATACTTCAGGCTACAGGTTTGCCACAGCATCTCTCCAACTTTGTGTTCTGCAAATATACTTTCTGGGATCAACTGGAGCCAGTCAATGTTGCACCTGAGGTGGATCCTTCCTTATCCTCTGTCAGCAAGGAGCCACGGTGCATGGTTGTCTTTGATCACTGCAATGTAAAGTATTTTTTTCTTTTTCTATTTTATTAATGAAATTGTAGGCAGTTTCACTCACATTGTAATATTTCATGAGGCTGATACCCTAATACCATTTTTAATAAGAACTTAAACATCTTCAGAGTCCATATAAGTTTGATTATTCTACATTGTTCACTTGTGTGGAAATCACAGAAGATGAAGTGGGTTAATAAAGGCAAGTAATCTGTTCAGCAGAGAGACTTATATTAGCTTACCCACAGTAAAGATGCAGCTGAGCATGAATCACTTTAGACTCTGATGTAGTGGAGAGAAATGTCCCAGTCCTGGGACATGATGCCTGTTATCCTAATGTAGTAGATTAAAGTAGTAAAAAGTTAAGTCACGTAGCTTAGAACAGACCATTTCTTCCCATTGACTTTGGAGCAACTGTCTGAGTGTAGGCATCTTTAACAGAGATAGATGAAGTCAGCTTAGATGAATCCCAGCCAAATTATCTGAGTTCTCCTCTCGTTCTTTGTCATTTGTTATTACACTGAGCAATTTATTCATCTTATAATTTCTTAATAAATACAATACCTTCTGATGAGTTTTGATTTTCTGACTGAATGTTAGAAAATATGATTTTAATTTTTTTGGAACCATCAGATGATGACTTGGAACAGCGTGCGGTCATTTTTCAGCTCTTTATAGACTTGAATCTTCAGTAAATCATGTATCATTGCCTTACCTTCTGATTTTACAAATGAAGGTGACAGTTCTTTCTTTCCTTTATATTGTGGCTTGGAGACCAGGGTGACTTTACTCCATGCTTATATTAAAGCCAAGACAATAAATCTCTAAGCAAAAGTCATTGTGTAGTCACAGTCAACAACGATTTGTCACTTACAGGAAGTTTCTGTAAATATTTCCGAAGACTTCATGGAGCATCTTTATGATGGTGCTTTGGCAATAGAAGTATATGGGCACAAGCAGAGTGGTGACCGAAAAAATCCAGCCCTGTGGGATTTGGGAATAATTCAAGCCAAAACACGCAGCCTTCGTGACAGGTAAATATGGAAAATAGATCCTTGGCTTAGAATTTTCAGGAAAATCCCTGTCTCAGCTGCCCAGTTCTGAGGCAGGTTCAAGATAAGTAGTCAAATTTTGAACTGAAGTCAACTGAGCATGTTTTTGAGATTGTAGACTCTATTGGAAAACCACCGTGCAATGTGTCAGTAGGCTTTGAAAAAGTGAAAGAGGAGAAATGCCCATCCCTATTTCAAATTAGTAGTAAAACTTGAAAGACTTAGAAGCCCCTTTTAGCTAGGCAAACTCAATCTGTGTTTTACAAAAGAGCAAGCTGATTATTTTCCTTTATATTGTTATGCTAGATTGCTCCAGAAAGAGCTATCAAGTCTAAAACAGCAAGAGGTTGTCCTGACTGTATGCTGATATATTTATTCAAGGTCTGACTCCAATTCATTCTTGACCATGAAATGTCATCCCTGTAGTGCTTCCACTGGAAGAGCCATGTTGCTAATTACTTGAGTTGGAGTAAATATGCAACAGTATGGTAATTCAGACTGAAGGGGGCTGCTTGTTTGTTGTCCCCAAAGGAAGCTTAATAGTATTCTCTTAAATGCTTTCCTTAATTTGCCTCTCCAATTAGAAGGCTGCTCTGCACCTTAATTTATTGGCAATTATTTACCTTTTTACTTCCAGCCTGAACTTGTGTTGAGCACTCTGAACATTAAGCTGTATGTAGGGAAATTTGAAAGAAAAGTCAGGAAAATATGGCAAAAAGGAGATGGAAAAAACAGGCTATAAAACCATAGAATGGTTTGAGTGAGAAGAGACCTTAAAGATCATCTGGCTCCAACCCCCTGCCAGGGGCAGGGGCACCTTCTACTGGACCAAGTTGCTCCAAACCCCATCCAACCTGGCCTTCAACACTGCCAGGGATGTGGGGCAGCCACAGCTTCTCTCTGTAACCTGTGCCAGTGTCTCACCACCCTCACAGGGAAGAACTTCTGCCTAAGATCTCATCTAAATCACCTCTCTGTCAGTTTAAAGCCATTCCCTATTGTCCTGTCCCTACAGGCTCTTGTCAAAAGACCCTCTCCAGCTTTCTTGTCAGCCCCTTTGGAGGCACTGTAAGGTGCTCTGAGGTCTCCCCGGAGCTTTCCCTTCTTCAGTCTGAGCAAGCCCAGCTCTCTCAGCCTGTCTCCATAGCAGAGGTGCTCCAGCCCTTGGAGCATCTTTGTTGCTTTCTCTGGGCTTGCTCCAACAGGAGTTCCTGAAATTCAGGAGAGTGCGCTATATCTTGAAAGCTTCTGAGACAGCATCATATTTTATTACACTGTCTTCTGATAGGGCTAACCATGCTGGGCTTCTATGGCAGTAGCTGAGTTCAAAGCATAAATGTTAAAATGCATTGGAACTGGGGTTTGGATTGCAGAGGCTTACTTCTGATTTTTGACTGAAATAGCTGTTAGTAAAATTATAAGAACTGTACAGCTGGTAACCCAATCCTTGCCCATGGAAGGGGGGTTGGAACTAGATGATCTTTAAGGTCCTTTCCAGTTCAAACCATTCTATGATTATATACACTTAGAAATGGTGCATATATTGACTTGTTCCTTTGCTTCTTCAGTCTGTATTCTGAGCTAATCGGTTGTGCTGCTTCTTTCTTTGTGGAAAAAAAAAAAAATAGAAACCATATTTGACATATTTTGCAGGTGGAGTGAAGTAACGCGAAAAGTAGAACTCTGGGTTCAAATTCTAGAGTTGAATGAGAATGGGGAATACTGCCCGGTTGAGGTGACTTCTGCCAGGGATGTGTGCACTGGAGGCATCTTCCAGCTCAGACAGGTAAGGAGGCAGATATATTTTGGCTGTGAAAAGAGCCTGCAGAAAGCCAAGAAGCTGCTATTTTGTATGGTTAAGGGATGGACACAAAATAAGTTATTGTGTAGAGCAGACAAAATGTAGAAGAGAGTGGAGTCCCTCGGGGTTTTGTGAAACTGCCAGTGTGCATAAGCTCAGATTTAAAGGTGATCAATGCTTACGGGTAATCTTTTTGCTATGTTCTGTTCTGGGTAGCACCTGCTAGAACAGTCATCAGTCTCAACTGGACTTCATAATTTTTTGAAGAGGTTCAGAGTTCGCTTTTATTTGATCCTTCTGGCCAACCACTCTTTTGTTCTTTGAATTCTACATACATTAAATTTTTAATGCTTAACTGAGTAGTTAACATTTCAAAGTGCCCATAGAACACAAGGAATTAGTAAAAGTCAGATACAAGCTGAACCTCCAAACTTCCCAACTCCTTTGATGATTTTTTCCATCTTTTTTCCCCTGTGGGTTTTATAAAGACCAGTTACTTTGCTGCGCTGATAGCACCAGGGGTTAATAATTTTCAGTCAAGTTTACTAAAATTCCAGTAGCTCACAAAATTAGACTATTTTTTTCTTCTCTTTTATAGGTGGGGAAGAGACCCACCTGCCTTTAGAAGTATTACAAATAAATTTCTATAAGTGTATGTTTTAAAAATCCTCCAGAAAAGTAAACTGGGAAGTTGCTGAATGCTGAACTTTTATTTTTCTGTAAATATATCAATCCTATGAAAACAAATCCTTGCAACAGAAGGGTAACTCTTCAACACTGGGACACTGAGGTCGCCGGGCTTACCACTTTGTTCTTCACAAAATAAAAACATAATGGTACTTGCAAATAACTGCCACTAGAGGTCTCTCTGTCATTAAGCTTCTAGTATTTGTTATTCTCTTTTCCCGAGCATTTCCAATTGTTTTTTTTTGGCAGGGGCAGTCTCGACGAATTCAGGTTGAAGTGAGATCTGTACAGGAATCCGGGACCTTGCCACTGATGGAGGAATCCATATTATCTGTTGGCATTGGCTGTGTTCAAATAAAACATGTCAAGTCACAAAAACTACCTGAAAGTTACCAGGTAAGAGTGAATACTTTCTGTCATCTGTGGCTATTTCCAAGACATGTAAAAGCATAAAGTGGTGTCCTGTGTGACAGCTGGAGGCAGCCCCATTAATTTTAAGATTTAGTTTGGTTTTGTTAGACTTTTTTTTTAAACCAACTTCTTAAACATATAAAGCAATATCAAGAAAAGTTGGCAGAGTTACTTTGGCTGTGGTTTTAGTGATTAGTCAGGATAGTTTGAAACTAAACCTCTGTCTTTTTGAAAATGTTGTGGAAGATCTTTTCATTTTCCATAGTGAAATAGTGTTTGTAAGACTACATTCTGTGTCTTTTCTGGTTTTGGTATCTTTTTACTGTCCTTAAAAGCAGCACAACCTTAACAGACCATTCAAAGAAGAAAACATTGAAGCTTCTAAAATTCATTAGGAGTTTGTCCGGTAGGTTTTACTTCAAATATTAAATGTGGCAGCAATTTTATGTGCAACGTGTATTCAAACAGTGTTGAGCTACAACTGTGAGAATTATATGAACCAGTTGTTGACCCACAGTAAATGTTGAGCAGTTTGACAACCCCAGAAGCGCTACATCTCATCTTAAGCTGCAGGTATATTTGATTTATTTTATTTCAGTTTCTAGTGCAGTTTGACTTCTTCCCCCAACAGCTGCATTAAAATCTAGTCACTGCTCGAAGTGAGCAAGCCAAAATCTGGTGCAATAGCACAGGCAAGTCTCCAGACTTGTTTGATTAGTTGCCCTGCTTGAGACAAGTCCACCTAAACACGAGGTAGTTTTGGGGACATCTTCCAGCTTTCCATAATGTTTACCCTGTTGACAGACCGTGATTCAGCCTGTGTCTGCTCCTGTCTTTTAGCTTAATCAGTATTGTTTTTCTCTTTGAGGTCTGAAGTAGTTAGTTTTTTTGTTGTTTCCTAACCTTAAGAGCCCCTTGCCCCTTGCGTGTCAGGGGTACGAAAAGGGGAATTTTTTCCTCCTTTGCAGAAATCTCATGTTTCAGCAGCATCCTAGGCAGATTATTGCTTTCACTTCCCATTATGCTTCTGCTAGCGATTTTACCTTCAGGCTTTTGTAGCTGCCTTTCAATCATAGCGGTTTTTGATACCCATGTCCTATGAAACAAGTAAACTGTCGTTTCTGTTTTACTCCTGAATGAAGCAAGTTTTTTAAGAGACTTTTCTCTGTCAAGAAAGAGTGAATGATTCTTGCAAATTTTATTTGAAAGCTATTACACACCTGCAACATACATATGCCTCCTTGAGCCTGTTTCAGAAGGTGACAAGTCCCAGGTGAACATCCGGTCTGTCTCACCCTGTTTCTTCCCCAGTGAATTCCTGATCTGTTGACCAGTTTCAACCGTATCTGACAGAGCTGGCAATCCACAAAATAGCACATTCTTTCAAGAAGAAAGACTTAAACTCCGCTTGAGAGAGAGAGACTAGTGAGTTGTGTCTGACACTGATAACCCACATGGGAAAGGGCTTTGAAAACCATGTTTTATTAGTCCTCTATCTTACAATAACCTTCTGACTTGAGCACCTGGATATTTAGTCCCCTTATTAGCATTTCTCTGTCTCAGGTAAATCAGTATCTATGGAATATGAAAGATTTTCTAAAGATCTTGAACTAAGAAAATGCTCTTCTATATGGCTTTTTCATTTTAGCTTAGCTAAGCTTTTGCTTTCATTATTATATACAGAAGTAGACTCCAGTGGCTTGTTATTGCTTAAATAGATCAGTAATAACTCCATGAGGACTGGAGCCCTCATTGCTTCTCCATTCACTGTGAAGGAGTGGCAGTTCTGCTTACTCTTACTGCAAGTGTCTCTGCTTGTGATAAATGTTGAGAATGAAAGGTGGTGTCTCCTATCAGAAAATAATGGAAATCCAAATGTCAAAAGTCTACATTGCAACTCCTGGTGTGACACACTTATTTAAACTCCCCAACAGTTGGCTTAGATGTTTACAATTTTTTCCCTGTAGATGCTACAGCAAGCTTACCTCAAATCCTTTATGCCAGACTGATTTTTCAGTAGTTGCTGTAATATTGATACTGAAGTCTTATACCAGCACATTTTTCTTTGCTGTGCAGGATCAACAGGTTTCAAGTTGTTTCACTAATACTCGTCTTTCTTTCTTAGGGCAATTCAAGTGTTACACTTGCTTCCAATTACAAAGATTTGTAGTAGCTATATCTCTCTGACATTTTTCCATTATAATTGTTGGATTGTTCTGGATGAGCTCATAGCAGTGAGTCTTTGAGATGTCGTGTTTTAATTCTGTGATCATACTATTGCTAAGCTCAGACTTTTATGTAAGACTTGCTAAAATAGTTACACCTTTTGCATTCAATGTGTATCCTGCTATAAAAAAAATTAATGGCATGGTTTGGTATGTTTTGGCCTAGGAAGAAGAGGATGAAATGGACAGTTATCAGGTAAAACTTTTGAATCCTTTTTGTTTTTACAAACTCATGCATTTCAGATTAAAACACTTCAGAGGAGGACCAGTATTTTGTCTTTGCTGTACTGGCTGGGTATACAGAGAGCCTATCTACTGAAGAGACTAGAAGCTTGAGAAGTGTGTAGATTGTTATGCTACAAAGCTGGGTGGTGGATTAGAGAGGTGGAAGAGAAAGAGCAAGAACCCTTAATGTGTATTTCCAAACCAAAATCCAATTACTTTTCACTTTTGATGTTCTGTGGGAAGGAGTCTTCATTCTTGACAAATTACGGTGTTGAAAGCAGCCGTGCATAGATAGACTTGGGGACATTGGTTGATGAGAAACTCAGCATGACCCACCAGTGTGCACTTGAGCCCAGAAACCAACCGTGTCCTGGGCTGCATTACCAGCAGTATGATCAGCAGGTCAAGGGAGAGATTCTCCCATTCTGCTCTGGTGAAGAGCACTCCATGCAGTCCTGCAACCAGCTCTGGAGCCCCAGTATAAGAAGGAGCTGTTTGAGTTAGTCCAAGGTTGGTTTGCCTGGAGAAGAAAGCTTCGGGGAAATCTTGGAGCAGCTTCCAGTGCCCAAAGGGGCTGACAGGAAAGCTGGGGAGGGGCTTTTGACAAGGACATGTAGGGATAGGGCAAGGGAGAATGGCTTTAACCTGACAAAGGGGAGATTGAGATGATATCTTCGGAAGAAGTTCTTCCCTGTGAGGGTGGTGAGGCCCTGGCCCAGGTTGCCCAGAGAAGCTGTGGCTGCCCCACCCCTGGCAGTGTTGAAGGCCAGGTTAGATGGGGCTGGTCAAGTGGAAGGTGTCCCTGCCAGTGGCAATGGGATTGGAACTAGATGAGCTTTAAGATCCCTTCCAACCCAAACCATTCTATGATTCTATGAGATTGTCCTGATAGAGAACAAGAATAGGCATAGCAGTGTTGAATGTTGCAGTCAAATACTTTATGCTGTTTCATATTATGAATGTGCTATGTGTAAGACATCTGGAGTATACTGCATGGTTACCAACCCTTAGGCGAAGAAGGGGGATTCTGGTCCTGGAGCCCAAAGACAGAGGGAAACATCACACTATTTTTTTCTATATAATGTCACAGTAACATGAGTCTTAAAGGGGAGCTGATGAGATACAATATCTGTGATACCTTTCTCATCTTCTTGTGAATAACTTTACAAAAGCACATCATCATTGTTATAGATCTCAACTTTGTGTAATGAGAGCAACCAGATATTTAATGCTTTCTGATAGATTCTGGCATACTTTAGGGGTCTGCAGCTGAGTAATACAACTGTAGTTTATAGTCTTTCATCCACCCAGTTTTCATGACAAAGTATGTGTTATACTTTGATGTGGAATGCATCTGAACGGCTGTAAAAGAGGCTTGCCTGAAGGCATCCTGGAGCTGATAGCTCATCTTTGTGGCACCCAACGTACTGCATGTAGAGTATCATTCATCATTTCTGAGCATTTCTACACAAGAGACAAATGAACTGAGTGTTCTTAAGGATACCGGGTGGGGGTTTTTTTGAAGGACATGAGCACTTCAGAAGAAATATTTTTAAAAGGCCTAGTTGCAAATGCCAGAACTAGGGACAGTCACGTGATGCAGGGCAGGGATGGATTGCTAAAATGAGGCTGCTAAACACTGAGTGGGAACACTGAGTGATGGATAAGGACTGGTGTTTCCAGCTTTGCCACAAGGTAGTAGTTAGTGAGTTTTAGACTAGTTTGGGGGCAAAGATGTATAAAATGCAGTTTGTTCAGCTGGGAAATACAGAATAACAGCTAGAGAAGGATGCCTCAAGCTGGCAAACAAAACTAATTCAAATAAGATGTGGAAAGTTAGGGATTTGGACCTGTGAAGGAAGGCTAAGAGAACTGGGGTTGTTTAGCCTTGAGAAGAAGAAAAGACTCAGATGGGATCTTGTCAATGTGTGTGAATGAGAAGGGGTAAAGAGGACAGAGCCAACCTCTTATCAGTGGTATCCAGTTAATGGAAAAGAGGCAGTGAGTTTGCACTTCACATAAGAAGTTACTTGGAGAGGTTGTGGAGATTCCATCCGTGTTGATATTCAGATTTCAACTGGACATAGCCCTGAGCAAGCTGCTGTGGTTGACCCTGCTTTGGGCACAGAGCAGGGCTGGGCTAGACAATCTCCAGAGAGGTCCCTTCCAACCTCAGTTGTTCTATGTTTCTGTTTAAGTTGTCCTGTGCAAAAGAAAATAGAGAAGAGCTAAGTGATTTGTTGGAGGTCTGCTCTGTGTCTTATTTTCTTCTTGGGTATAGGATGAGCAGAAGTGTTGAGGAAATGTGTAATCCACAAATAGGAAACCTTGGCTTTCTTGGGTCAATACTTATCATGACTACTTTCCTCTTTACAGGATAGGGATTTGGAGAGGCTCCGTCGGAAATGGCTGTGTGCTTTAACAAAGCGGCAAGAGTATCTTGATCAGCAACTGCAAAAACTGGTTGGGAAGCCTGGTAAGCAAAATACAAAGGTAACAATAGTGATATGTTGAGGCATGCTCACTTAATTTTTTATCTTAATGTATTGCAAAATTTATAAAATAAGTTAATGGAGAGTTGAATCTCTGAACTCACCAGTAATTTACTTTCAGTGAAACTAAAGTTAGAGAAGCCTATATAAAATTGTTCTTGTATACTGTGTATTTCTTCTTTGTGTGCTGAATATCTTAGCGGAGTGAGGTTTTATTCTGTTATAGCTGGTGTAAGATCACTGAGACATGATAAGGCACCGAATAAGAAATGCTCTCTATTGTCCTGCCTAACATCCTGCTTCTTCAGATAAAACAGAAGATGATGCGGATCGGGAGGCACAGCTTTTAGAGATGAGACTAACACTCACTGAAGAAAGGAATGCTGTAATGGTTCCTTCTGCTGGCAGTGGGATTCCTGGAGCTCCAGCAGAGTGGTATGAACATACATTGCCATATGCAAGAATGAATGTAAAAATGATGCATGGCCTGTTCCTGGCTTGGATCATTGCCATTTTTTGCTTTCCTTAATCTGGCCTCTGTGCACCATATGAGCAAAGTTGTTAAAATTAGGCCTCTTGCTTCAATTATTTTATTAGGCTGTCTATCTGAAATTCAGAAATGGTATTTAGTAAACGATACTATTATTGATCAGAGTGTAATTCTGACCTTCTGAAAAAACAGGATCAATATTTATTACCATTGCACGTACCATTTTAAAAAATTAGCTAATATGTTAATTACCTAGTTCATTCGCTTAAAAGGCTGCTCTGTCATAATAATACTGCATCTACAGGAGCATTTTGTTGCACTCCTGGTTTGAGCACAGTCTGTTTAGTCAGCAAGTGTTCCATGTAATTTTCTAAACATTAAAAATAGTAAGCTACACTATACTTGAGACTGCTGTACTGTAGCAGCTGTGAATAACAACTGTAGATAAGGAGGCAAAGTTGTTTCACTTCAAATCTTTTGTCTTCAGTTGCTTTCAACTTTGTGAAAAAATTTTCTGAGCAAACATCTAACAGTATTTATTGATGGAATTGAGTGTCATGGAGCTTCAAGCTAAAGTTTGTTGAAGCTAGCAATTCTGAAACATAAAAATGACAAATGCTTGCTGGAAACACATCAGCCTTCACATCAAAGTGTTGGACTAGGCTGAAAAATAGTGGAGCTGCAGGAAACTTCCTTGAGGAAGAATTAGTTTTGAACACTTTCAGACCAGAGGAAATGTTTAGTGTTATTTTAGCACCATATATATTACAGAAGACTCCTGCTCTTGTTCACCATAAAGTTCGTCAAGTCCAAGTTTGTCTTGAGATGGCTACAGCCTTTTTTCACAGCTAAGATTGCCACAAGGAATCTTAAAGCCTTCCGTGCTTCGTGTTACATTTTTATTTCCTTATTAATGTTGTGTAGCTTAAAGTGCTTAGCCAAGGACTATTTTGTTTTAAAAACAAACAGAACACCACCTATGTTACCCCTCCTTCCATGAAAGATACCTTAAATAGCAGCTTTGACTCTCAAATATGTGTGGTTTGTAAGAAAGAGTAATAACTGTGTAGTGTAGCAGCATCAATGTTAGTTTAAAAACTTTGACGCTGGATGCTGTGATTTTCACTCTGCTGTCTTCACTGCCATTACTAATGCAGAGGGGGTTGCATTTAATAAATGTATGTGTCAGAGTAAATAAACTTAATTTTGCTATTAGCATTTTAGAGGGAGAAAGCCTCTCTGAAAGCAGAGGTCAAAGAATATAGTAATTCTGAGACAGCTAGGATAAAAGAAATACCAATTTAGTTGAGTCTCTTGGAATCTGTAAATTAAAGTAAAACTGTTTGCCAATGTTATCAGTAGTCTGGCTTAAAATGGCAGTTGTTCTGAACGTAATGTACTTGGGGCTTGTATCGTAAGGTACATGTGCTGGTTAAATCTGTGTTAGTTTAAATGCTACCATTGTCCCTGTCTTCCGTCTTAGGACTCCAGTGCCTGGTATGGAAACTCACATTCCTGTTATTTTCCTTGACTTGAATGGTAAGTGGTTCTTAAAATGACAGAGTGCTTTGAAACAAACTTTATGCAGCCAGAGGCGTTATAGAATTTAACCATGCTAATAAAATGAAGGCATGCCTGGAATGGCAGGTGGATTAATTTGGGAGTGCATGTTTTTCACTAAAACATTGTTTAATGTTCAAAATAGCATTATATATGGGAGGACCACAGATTTTCATAATTACAATGTTTTTCATATTTGAAATAGAAATAGTAAAATGAGTACATCTAAGGGAGTGTACGGCAATAGCAGTGTAAACTAAAAATTATTGTTGGGAATGTTCTTTCTGAGTTCTCAGAAGGATATAGCACTGATGCTATATCCTGTAATTTCTTTACTGATGACTCAGAAGAAAACGTGAAGTCACTGATAATAAGATCTAAATATCAAAAAAATGTGGCATGGTTAGCTCAAATTAGTTTACAGAGAGTGATCGTGTGTTTCTTTTAAACAATGTATGGTCCAATCATCCAAATACAAGATCCGGTTCAAACAAAGTATTTATCAGATATTTCTATCAAAGATGGGAAATTGTAGCCAAGAAAGCAGCAACCCCAGCGTAATCCAGGGAGCCAGCAATGCCTCATCAGCTGAACAAATTCTTGTTAAGATGTTTTAAAGGGGGTTAACGTGTTAGAAGCATCAGGTGAGAGTGGGGAGGCGGCATTCTGCCTGTTATGAGGAGGTCTTTGCTGCAATGCTGTTTACATTTATGGTTTGCTCATCTAACAAAGCATGTCGGTATATGAAATGGCTTCAGAGAGGAGCTAGTTAATCATTCATGGTGAGGGACTTGAGCCAGAAGAGGTTGAACTGCTTCTCAGAAACCAGATGAAGGGTTTGTTTAATCATGGTCTGTAATTTTACTTGTGTAACCATCAGCTTATCTTTATTTAAAAAGAAAACCCCACACCACCTAAGTGATGCCAGATGAGCAACGTACTTGGTATGATTGAGCTGCAGCGCTGAAAACACACCTGTGGGCAAGGAGGGGATGTTCACAGCTGAGGGAGAGTCCCACAGAAAGAGGACTTTATAAAGCACGCTTGAGTCTGTGTTCCCAAATCTGTGTGCACACTTTCTCTATTGAAATGGGATTCTTTTTGAAGTGAAACAATGCAAGAGATTTGCTTTTGTAGATAGAGTATAAGTAGCCAAGCTGGGGAGTTACTGATGAAAACGTGAATTCATGACTTGCTGGATATTTTTAAAAAGGACAATTGCTTTGTGTCTCCTCACCTTTTGCACTCACTTCTGTTTCTAGCTGATGACTTCAGTTCCCAAGACAACCTTGATGACCCAGAAGCAGGTGGGTGGGATGCTACACTTGTTGCAGAAGAGGAGGAGGAATTCTTTGAACTGCAGATTGTGAAGCATCATGATAGTGAGGTAAGCAGAGATGCAGGCCAGTATATTTAGTTTAGAAGTCTGTTAATTGTTCTCTTTTTATATTAAAATGTGTAAATAGCGCATCGAAGACTGCATACAAAGTACAGAATACTTGTTTCTAACATAACTGAATTCAAGTTTTCCAGAAGTATTCACTAGGATTATAACCATGATTTGAAAAATAATAAAACTCAAGGATCTTCCTTCATCCAAATCCAAGCATTACAAAAGCTTCAGATTCTGAGTTTGTGTTTAAAAACCAAAACCAACTCCCTTAGCAAATTAGAAAATGGAATCCCCCAGCTGAAAAACTAAACAGTCTTACCTGTCGTTACAGTTAACATTCACCTGTGCATTGTTCCATTCGTTACACAACATTTTGCCTCTGAGTTTTACAACTTTCCAATTGTCGGTTCGTGATTTTTGCTCTTAGGCTTAGAATCTCTGATGTTATTTTTTTATTCCTTACAATTTTGCTCCTTACTCTGAGATTTATTGCTCTTTTATATTTTAGAGGAGCTTTATTTCTGATGGGTTTTATGGGTTTGGGGTTTTTTTGTTTTGATTTGTTTTCAAAGCCTGGAAAAATGGCTACCAGACTGTTTTTCTTATGGCTTGAATATAAACAGTTTAAATTTTCAGTAATACTTAACATTCAAGAAGAGAAATTCCAAGTTTTGCTGTATTGCTAGAAATGTTTCTGCAACATTATTTCTCAAATGCAGACGAGAGTTTATGTGGTGTGATGGAAGATTTTCACTGCAATTTCTGTTGCTCTCTGACTTGTGTTAATAAATTAGGCCAAATGGTCCTGTAGTTCTGCATATTTTACAGTTTATTTGCAATGATCCTGGGTATTCAAAAATCTTGTTTTCAAGAGGAAATGTTCCAGAGTTTGAGCAAGTTGGCATTTTCAATCCCAGCGTCTTCATTTGGCAAACTAATCTTGATTTTTAAATGGCCTCTTCTGAAGTGCAGGGATTTTTCTTCATAGGGAGTGAAATGGAGAAGCTCACTCTCAAAATTTATGTATTATGTATTTTTGTTAATTATGCTTAATTAATTACAGTTAATTATACACCTAATTATGCTTATTAGAGGATACATTTTTTTCCTTTGCAGGTGAAAGCAGAAGCCTCATGGGATTCCACAGTCCACGACTGTATCCAGCTCAGTAAAGGAACAGCAGCAGATGAAAGAGTTTACCTTATTGTGAGAGCCACTGTCCAGCTCAGCCATCCTGCAGAAATGCAATTAGTGTTACGCAAGCGCATTTGTGTCAATGTGTATGGCAGACAGGTATGTCTTCTATAGTCCTTCATGCTTTTCATTCTGCCCCATGGTTATCACTGCTTGAAGAGGGGAAAGCTGTGATCTGTGCAATATGCTGCAGCTATGCCTTATTTTCCTGTATCTACCTTCATCTCTGTCTGCATGGAAGCACCTTATCAGTCTCATGTGTCGAGACTTTCAGCTGCCAAGTAATTTTCATAGTATCTTTTATACTGTGGATGATAATGCAGCTTTTTCTTAAAGGCTCAGTGGGACACGGGTATGAGAGACTCAGTGTTATTTGTATTAATTACTAAGGGCTTTATTCCAAGTCACTGGAAAGAGTTAACTTCTCATGAGCTTGCAATTCAGGTTTTGGAGAAACTGTGCATCACAAGAAATCTATATGTTTCCCTGCTCTTATAGTATGTTCACACATTACTGCTGACCATTTCTATCTATCCAGATATTTAGAGAGAAACTAACAGTAGTTGGAGCAGAGATTCCTTTGTGTAATTTGCCAAAGTCAATCACTCTGTCTCTTATGTTTTCCAATTGGCTTGTGCTCTTAAAATAATGTGTAGGTAAGAGCATGATATTTGATAAATGGAAAGCAGAAAGTTGTCATTCTATTTGCAGCATCTTGTCCTGAAAAATATTTCATTCTTGAAAAGGATGGTGGTGAAGAGTTTGTTCAGTGTTGTCTCAGAATCCAGCTTCCCCTAGCAGTGATAATAACAAAGCAGAAAGCCTAAATTATAATTCTGTTTGCACATCTGTAGTTAAAATCTGAAGCAAGAGCAGAAGAGGTGTGGTCACACCCTGAAACCCTGTTAACAACTCTAAATTGCCTTTAGTGCTAGGAACAGAAGAACTTGGTGCTTCAAGCAGGCAAAAGCTTTTTCTCGGAAAGAGGCCAGTGAATTTTTTTGTCATATAGAATGAAAGAGTATATTCAATAGAGAAATTGAGCATGCCAGTAATTACGATTGTGTTAAGTCTTCATCAGTTCTGTTTGCTATGGATTTTAGTCAGTGATGTGTTTTACTTTTATTCAACACAGAATCTTTGGCTTTCTTGCTAGGTTTCTAAAAATCCTCGTCAATAACCTTTCCTGGGTGTTTGTCTCAGCAGCATCTCTGAATGACTCATCTCTGCATTAATTCAACAGTCCAGTTCTTAACCCTGCAAGGCGCCAAGTCAGCATAAACAATGACCATGCTGCCTTAAATCATTCTTCGTAACGATCTCTTTGGTCAAGAATTTAAAGTCTGTACTTGTCAATATTCAAGACAAGTCACCTAGGGCTCTATAAAAAAAAAAAAAACAACACACCACTTCTAGAGCTAACAAATGATTTGTATGCTGGTTAAACGGTCACCTTGCAATGAAGAAAGTTAATCCTTTCTCTGTATCTGAAATACAGACAAGCAAATGATTTGTCTCCAAGTTAAAAATCTTTGACTCTTACATATTTATTGAGTCTGGGCTTCTTTCATTATAAAGTATATTTATTTCATTTTAAATATGTTAAACCATATTCTCCTTAAAGAAATATTTTCCTTTTTTTTATTTTTGCCTCTCCATAGGGTTTTGCACAAAGTTTCCTCCGAAGAATGTCTCACCGAAGTTCCATTCCTGGCTGCGGTGTCACTTTTGAGATAGTCTCAAATATTCCAGAGGTGAATAAGAAATCAGCATAGCTGAAATTGGCTAAGAGCCTCTAAATTTCTGATTTTCCCTTATTTTGAGCATGCTAGCTCTTGCTGCTGCAAGCATAAACTCTGGTTCTTATAAAAGATTAAGCATATTCCTTTACATGCTGTGACTTAGCAGCAACCTGTGTCTTGTCAGGGTCGCTATGTATTTTGTTAGGTGAGCATCTGTTTACTGAGGTCCTTGAGGAAAGAGAGGGAAAAAGTGGGAGTAAAGATGAGCAGGTGAAGTGCGTGGTGCAGGGAGCATGAGAATATGTAAAAAATAACAAAGTGGCTTTTTCGAAGTAATGTCTTTATGCAGCTCTTGATTCCTGAGCATGTTCATAGATAGAATCTAATCCTTTCCTTCCAAACAGATGCTCTATCGGAGCACTTGTGAAAACATTAACACATAAAGAGCCAAAAAGGCTGGTTGATGCCTGACTGTGCCTTTTATGTTCTGCTGTATTTAGCACGCAGTGTTGAAATGTTTTTCAAGCAAAGTTCTATATTTTTTCTTTCAAGTCACTTGAAATTTTGTTTTTCTCACAGGATAGGTAACACTACAAATGTGTTTGAGCACTTTTTAATTATGAAATTTTTCCCTGTGAGGGTGCTGAGGCCCTGGCACAGGTTGCCTAGGGAAGCTGTGGCTGCCCCATCCCTGGCAGAGTTCAGGGCCAGGTTGGATGGGGCTTTGAGCAACCTGCTCTAGTGGGAGGTGTCCCTACACGTGGCAGGGGGTTGAAATTAGATGAGCTATAAGGTCCCTTCTAACCCAAACCCTGCTATGATTCTATGAAATATCTGAATGCAGCCCTTTTGCTAATCAATGGCAATGTCTCACTGTGAGACTTCCCCTCCCATCCCTTAAAAAAAAAAACCAAACAAAAAACACCATAAAAAACCAAAACCAACAGAAAAACAATAACCACATCTAGCTTGAGGTGTCGTTACTGTGGTAGGAGCACCCACACAGCACAAAACATCTGAACCTGCCCCTTAGATTAAGGGCGAGCAATGTTGAATGTGCTGTGTGTTTTAAAAATTAATTTTCTTCAGGACTGATTTGGGATGGTTTTATTATATTTTAAAAGAATGTCATATCTTTCATCTTCCTAGGATGCTCAAGGAGCTGAAGAGCGTGAGGCACTAGCCAGAATGGCAGCAAACGTTGAAGATGCAGCTTCAGCTGACTCTGAAGCCTACATTGAGAAGTACTTGAGGAGTGTGCTGTCTGTGGAGAACATTCTCACCTTGGATCGTCTGCGCCAGGTCTGTTTTTAAGGCTGAAGCAGACAGCAGAGAATATGCTTACTGAGAACAATAGCAATACAAATGTTCTAAGTGCATGCAATGGCTAACAAACCAAAAACACCACTTCAGTGCCTACCTCCACCTTACAAAGTGTGCATGTGGCAAACATCCAAGGATGCAAATGTAGCTTTCTATAAAGAGATGCTCTCACTCAACTACCTATAATACAGATGGATGGGACTGGGATCTTTATGTTAAATGCACTGTTATGGGATGCTTGGTTTGATTTTAAGACTGTGCATTGCTAATTATGGTTCAGAAATGTAGTTATGTGGCATTAGCTTTTGCTTTCTGAAGCCTGGTGTTCAGTAATAGTTTCCAAATTTGCTAGAAGAGCTCTTGTAATTTTGCCCATGTTCTACCTTGAAGTAATCACACCCATTCTGTCAATAAATAAGACATCGATTGAGTTAAGATTAAGTACCGTAACTGGATCTGTTTACCAGGAAAAGTGCAGAAGAGAAAAAACATTTATTGAGAGTTGTTCTGGATATAAATTATGCGAGCACAAAAGAAAGTTATGCAAAACAAACTGGAGTATGTGCCTGCCCACTATAAATTTATGGTGAAGTGTGTTGCACTCTAAGTATTGAAAGCAAGTTCTCTGTCATATATAATTAGTTTAAAGGATTAAAATAAGAGCTCAGCCAGGAAAGAGAGTCTTAGTCTTTACATCTGTAACAGTCATTTCCTAGAATCAGAACTAGCTGCAAAATCCTATGTGGGCCAATCAGCAAAATACTACATGTTACAGTTTATCTACTCTTACACTTCTAGCCATGTTATTTGCAAGTTGTAGGTTACAGTAGACTTTACAGACGGGAGCCTGGGCAATAAGGCTGTTTAGAAACATTTTTCTTGTATAGACAAAACTATTCTGGGGTGATTGGAGCTTAGATTCTTGCAAGGCATGCATATTTTCTTTGTTTTTTTTCTCTCTGATTGACAGGAAGTTGCTGTAAAGGAGCAGCTAATGGGAAAAGGGAAACTCTACCGCAGGAGCCTGAGCTCTCCCAATGTGAATCGAGTGAGTATTCCATGCTGGTATCTACAGCATACTGAGGGCAGCAGGTCCAGTCTTTCAGTTTACAGGTCTCTATGATGCCAGTCATGGAGTATGGCAATAAATTCCCTTCTGTTTGACCCTTCTGTTTGTCTGTGCTATTTGTGAGCATGTAAATCGCTAAATGGAGGCAAAATCTGCACATATTCATGCTTTCATCATACAGGCTAGTATGCTTGAAAGCATCCCTGTAAATCCAGACTATTTGAAAAAGCAGTGCTTTTTTTTTTTTTTCTGAACACTGGATTTTTTTTTCATTTTGCTACCAACTTGAAAATGTTTTTTTTCTTCACAAGATTTGAAAGCAAGTTACAAGTATTTATTGATCTTAAACTTTGTAACAGTGTTGTGCATAAGAAGGGTGAGACTTCTGTTGTTCAAAATTTAGAAAGAAATCCTTTGATAGAACTGGTAATCAAACTTGTAGAATTCTTGCACCTTCCAGGTCAATAACTGGGATTTCACCTTCATCTCTTGGATTTCAGTTCTGCTTTAACTGCAGAACTATTTCTTTTCACCCTTCCTTGTGTTTGTCAAGAGGCATATTTATCAGTTGGTTAAGTTTCTGATAAGAAATAATTCTGCTTGTCTAAATTATTTCAGCTTTCTGGAAGCCGCCAAGATTTAGCACCTCCTTATAACCTGAGCAGTAACCGGGTAAGTATCCAAAGGTCGCCTGTCAAGTCTTCTGTAGAAAAAGGTAGCTACAGTAACTACAGTGTACCAGTTACAGGGGCATAAGTGGGAAACATCTGTAAAAGATGGGGCACACCCATGTGCTCTTTGTATCCTTGTGACTAGGACATAACTAGTTTTGCATGTGTTACACTAGGACTTCTCTGAGAAAGTTCCCAGACCTCCATCAGTCATACAGCAGTGCTGCCAGCCACTGTGGGATGTAAAATGGCAGACCTGGAGTTGAGCAGAGGAGATTAGATGTAGTTATCCATCACTCAGGTGTGCATTTCTCAGGGGATATCTTCCCATTGTCAAGCTTCAGAGCTCTTCCAAAGCTTGGTAGATGCAAACCTTCTGGGTAAGGAACAAATTTGGGTTCATATGTAAGGTTAGGTCTACTGTAGGACAGAACAGAGGTTTATGAGGAGAGTCTCTGACCTTCAGAGGAAAACCAACAGTCTGAAGCTTTTAGTGGGTTATAATTCAGCCCATTACACTTCTTAAAAACAATGGTATAGATCAAAAGTATTTCTTTAAAAGCTGAAAGATTAAATTCAAATATATTTTCCAAATCCTAGATAAACTGAAGTGTCTTCTGATAGATATTCTGCCCAGCAAGCGTGTAGTCATTTTAAAAGGGAGAAGCTAGTGGTGAAGGCGTTTTAATGCATAATGCAGTTGCACAGAATAATAGAATTTTGATGTAGTGCTCTAGCATTGGTTGCTAAATCTACTACATCTGATCCATGTAGAGAATGCTAAAATACGTGCAGGTGATAAAGTGCTTATAGCAACTTCTATTTGGAGAGGACTGTGTGATGTTTCAATATTGTAGAGTTTTAATGCAAAAAATAAAGATCAGAGTTCTTAATGATTTTTGGTTTTTCTCCTCCCTTCCTCTCAATGGTTTCTCTCATTGCATGTTTCAGAGTCCAAAGGTCCCAGCGGAGGTAATGCATTAGGTCCACCTAATGAGTGAGATAATAATTTTATCTCACTAGAAAGTTTATTTTGCTCACTTACATGCTTTTACTTCCTGCTTTGAAGATGCTGCTGGTGGTGTCTCATTTGCATAGTACACAGCAAATGAGTTTTACTATTGAAAAGCCTGTCATTAATGCAGTATGAAACTGGTACAAGCAAGAGAAGTTTCTCCTTTTTGGGTGCATCTTATGGTTTGTTACAGAGCTATAGCTATTTAAGGCCTTTTCTCACAGTTCTTTGGACTGGATGAAGTTATGTAAGAAATGGCCCCATCTCAGCTAAGAAAACCCAGACACATGAAAGCAAGTGAATAGATGTCAGTCATGTACATTGGCCTAGAGATGAGATAAATGTTGAGAGTTTCTTCCAAATCTTTCTCTCTTTATGGCTTCTGATAGTTCAGTGTTAACAGCCCTTGATTCCTATGAAAAAATGATTTGATATTAATACTGGGCCAATGGAAAACATGTTTATGTTTGGTATCATGTTAACACTCTCGGAGGAATGACTATGCATCTCCTTAGCTGAACCAAGCTTTGCTTAACCAGAGTTAATTGACAGGTTTGCATGGGGTTTTGCAGCTTCCCTGGGATTGATGTAGCTGCTGACAAACACAAGCAGTTCTGCGACATGGAGCTGAGGTTGCTAGCTTACCCCTTGCTTTGCAGCATGCTTCATCTCAAGGCACTTGTTACTCAGGACGTGGGAGGTGCAAACTCCCCTTTTGGAAATTTCTCATTTCAAATGGATCTCGGGTTCAGTTTCCACAGGGAGATGAATGAAAGCTTTTGTAATCACAATGAAACGTTAAACAAATTCTTAAGTTTTCCTATAGCACACAGAGACCACAAAGCACAATGGTGATATCAGTCTATCTATTTTAGCATAAAGGATCTGAGCATAGCTTGATATGTGGGGTTTCATCTAAGTTAGATGGCTTTGTCACTTGCAGAGAACTTTAGCGAAAAAGAAGTCCTCTCCAGCAGCCATAAATCATTATTTTACAGGAATTTGGTTTTGTTTACAAATGCCTATAATCTCAAACAAGTGGTTTATTATATCATGAGAAACATCAGTCACAGGAGAGTAACAGCATCCTGAATTGGGTGCAGAACTAATCTGTCAAGCCTGCATGCTTTAATATTTGTGAAACCCTTGACACATTTCAGACTATTCTTCTTAACATTTATTCCATTGCTTCATACGTCTCTCTGATTTTAACATTGGTCCTTACATTCCTGCTGTCTTTACCATGGATTTTCAGCTTGTGGAAAAGGCATTTGAGTCTCATTCCTCTATGTACAGTACCATTCATACTGGTAACATTATGAATGTGAATGCTGTCATTCTTCATCACTATGAATAGCCAGGACTACCTCCCCTGTAAACAAGAATATTAAACAGGTCAGAATAAGAAGTAAAGATGGTGTTAGTGCAACTAAAACAGGCAGATCAGAAGTTTCCAGAATTAGGGCCGAGATTCAACTTGCAGCCATAGTTGAACCTGTTGCTGCAAGTATGGATTGGTGGTTATGCCCCCATGAAGAGCTAGAAAAAATTCTGCCCTACTGAAGTAGAGGTCTGGGTTTGACACATTCTGAAAAGAACTTAGTATCTCTGAGTACTGACACTACAGCAGGATGACTCTCAGACTGAGATATGTATTCATTTGAGATATTTAAGTCACCACTGGGATCTTTTTCATAACAACTCATAAGATTAAGCCATCTAACTGGCTGAAAAGGCAAGGAGATGCCTTCTAAATTTACTTCAGAAGACAGTCTTACGGGTGTTTCATATTAAGTTAACAGGACTGCATTTGGTCTCACCTCTAAGGCATATCTGCTTGCTTAAATGAGAAAAAGTCAATTTTTACTGCTGTTACCACCACAGATATGGTTATGGGAGAGAGACATGAATTTTGTTTAATCTTGCACATTAGCACGTGTCAGGTGATGCAGGACTGTGGTCTCTTACTGGTCATACTACATACAGACCTGGATTTTTATGTTCCTGGGTGCTTGCATTGGAAGCTTAAAAATTCACTTGACTTGAAGTGGATGAATCAGATGCACAAAGTATGGAAGGCACCTCTGACTTATTTTACAGGCTTTCGGACTATAATCATGTACTGATGAGATATTTCATGAGTTGTTCTTAAACAAAAGAGTTTTGAATTGTCAAAGACAGTTCTGTCTTTGGCAGTCATCCTTCCTTTCCCGAAGGTCCAGTGGTTTGTAGCTCGAGAGCAATGTACACCAAAGCCAAGGCAGACATGATCGGTCCACTTAATCTTTGGGTTTTACTAGGAATCAGAGGGTTTTTTTCAGTAAATTTGTACCATGTAGATCTATTTGAATAATCTTGCTGTTCACGAGAACAAGTGCCTTTTGTCCCAGCTGTATGCTTATATTTATAAATGCTACATGGTCACCTTTTCCTAAGCCTTTTCTGAACTGCTAAAATAATAAAACACAAGAAGTATTAATTTTTCTTACCTAGTGGCTGCATTTTATTGGTCTGTCAACTTCAAGAAAAGAATTGTTGTCAGGTAAAGCCTGCAGATCACTTAAGTAGTGATCACCCCTATTTGCTGTAAAGATTTTGTGCATGTTATTGCTGACCTGAAATAAATTTCCTGGTGTTTTTCATGGATGATGTGTGAAAGAAAGGAAGGCAGAGGAGAAGTAGGAGAAGGTATTCTAGAAATAAACCACTTTATAGACAGCTATGTATCAAAATCCAGCAAGGGACATGCATTCTTCTGGTGGATATTTTTGATTTGTTAAGTCACTTGACCTCTCTTTGGTCACTTGGCAGAGACCAAATATATTCATGAAATGACGGCTTCTCTGCACAAATGATTTACAAGCTTCTTTGCTTTCTCTCACCACCCTTCTTGAGACAAAAAACAGTTACAGCACTTAAATAATACCAATTGCTTAGACTTAAGTGTTTCAGTTAGTGAATGCACAAAACAATCATGTGAGAGTGCTATATAACCTGAAGATGTGAAACTTGGGAACTTCATCAAGGTAATATAGTTAATAATTCTTACATTTTTTTTCTTTTTCCGGGATTGAGATAGGTTATCTTTCAATCCAGCTTAGTAAAATCAATCATTCATGAACTGCCTTTTGCCTCTACAGAATCTTCACACAACAGTTGACCCTTTCAATTGCCTCCACTATTTTCTTTTGCAAATGTTTCTCCAGCTGTTGCCCTGATTTACCTACTTTTTAATGGTTTGCTCTCATCTCAGACTTGAGGCTTATTTCAGTCCTTAGAAACCTTCTAAAGTGATGATCTTTCCACTCTCTCCAAAACAAACATTATTTAAAAACACAACATGCCTTAAGTATATGGCCAGACAAATCCTTTTCTCAAGTTCACATTCCTGTTTTAGGGACCTTATTTTATTTGTCCTGGCAAAAATAGTTAAAATTAGGTAGAATATGTACGCATCCATAATTTCAAGGCTGAAACAAAATTTCCTAAAGATCTTTCCTAAAGATCCTTGGGGGAAAAAAGGCTCTTCCTTAGGAAAATGTCACTAAACATTGCCATTCTTTCTTTACAAGATGAATATTCTGAAAGTATTTTGCTCCATTTCTTACCTACTCCAGATTTTTTCAGCATTCTTCAAACAGGTCTAGAAAGTCAAGGTACTTGCCTGAGATTATTTTTGTTGGAGCAGTCAAAAAAGGGCACTTAAGACTCAGAAAAAGTTGATAAAGAAAATGATTTAGCTTCTCCTTACCTGCATTGAGTCAGTGTTCTAGTAAGCTAGAAAACTTTCTGATAGTAATCTTTCTGTTTCTTATGTCTCTGTGGTTTCCAGAAGCACTTAAACTTGGCCTACAGATGAGAATTACAAAGGTGTATCACCTTTATCCATTTGTCTTTACTAAGTGAATCATTACCCTAAGATCCAAAAGTAACACTAATCAAGCTCTGTTATGTCCTCCAAAAGAGAGCTCTTCAGATGCTTTGCATTCTCCCATAGTTTTTGTTCTTAACCTAATGCCACTGTCTCCCAGGCCGATGGCAAACCCGACTAGAAGGCAGCAAAACAGAACAGTATTTCAAGTGTTCAAGTCTTGTGATGACTTCCCACCAAATAGTTAATTTTTATTTTTTTATTTTTAACTCCTGAAGCACCAGTGAACTGATGCCTCCAAAAATACTGAATTACACTGGCATATTTTCCTAACTGGATAGACTATGAACTTTTCTCATGTTTTGACTCTTCCCCTGCAAACTAATCTGTCAGTGGGATCCAGAGAAGGAGACTTCAGGAAATATTTCACATCCTGAAGGGGAAGACAGTTTGAGCATAGTCTGAAGATGATGGCTGTTTCCATGCTGGCTCTCAGTGTCTGCTGCAGTGTGTGAAATCATCCAGATAGCAGGATAAGAAAGCAGACTCTGAAGCAGTATTTGGAATGGATATAAGTGGGGAAAGACTGCATGTGGTAAGGCCACCCTAAAGAGACCTGAACCAGCTGAAACACAAGATGGCAAAAGCCCAAGTAAGAGTTTCTGGGAAGTGGAATAGGAAAATCTATTTCATAGAAGCATTTTGTGGAAAGAATTTTCCAGACATAGGCATGGCTTTTTGATGTATGTAAGACATACATGATTTGCAGGTCAAAGATAATGTTCAAGTTGAGGCTTAACATATGAGTAGAACACTGTTATCCATGCTGATAGAGCAGGAAGCCTTCAAGAAGGGTTTAAACACCAAAGTCCTTAAAAATACAAGACTAAACAAATCTCTGGTATTTCTGCTGGTCCCAGCCTGGGTTATATCAGTTTTGACATTCAGGATGGCTTCCTAAAGTGAGCTCACACATCCATTAGTCCTTAGGTATCCCAAGTGTTACTTCACAGAAACCGCACTTGTTGGCTCTGCATCTAATAATACAGATGTTAGCTAGTAGAGTCTGAAGATAGGTGCTACTCTGCAAAAGTGCAAGTTACTTGCTATTCAAAGCATGAGAGCTTCTATGGGACTAACTTATAGATCCAAATGGAAACAATTTCTGCTCTTGGCTGCTCAGTGTGACCTTCAACCCATTGGAGAAATCTATTCCTCCTGTCCTGGCTTATTTATTCATGGTGAAGCATTCATGACTTCAAGTTACAGTTAAGATTAGTTTAGCTGCCTGTCATTTTCTGTTCAAGGTTGGATTATTTCCTTGCATCCAACAGCGTGAAGCTTCTTGAAAAGGTGCATTTCCCTCTTCTTCCTCCAGGAAAATTACATGAAACTTATGGTCTGGAATACAACAGTCCATCCCTTGTGACTTCTTTCTAGTATGTTCACTGTACCTTCTGGTTGTGAAAGTACCTGTTACGTGTTTTAAAAGAACATGCAAGATTCAGAAACAATATAATTCAGACAAGTACAGATATTGTATCACTAATAGCATAACTCCTTACCAGAAGTGGGATCAGGCTTTGGTTTGTATTGGTTTGGCTGCACCATCCTGTCTTTGCAACATCTATTTCTGAAAAGTTAAACTCTACAAGCTTGTAGTCCTGAGGGCATTCTACTGCCTGAACAGGACAACACTTCCACAAGGCGTTGAGACTTCTTGTAGCATTTGAGTCCAGATTCTTGTGACCCATAGACTCTTAAAGGTATATGGAATTTCCTTAACATCTGCTATAAAGTAAGTAAATTAGCACCATATAGCTTGATTAGTGCCTACTCTGTAGCAGTGCAAAGGAACCACTTTGTCAGGCATTGTGAGTGTGCATATATTGTAAGTTTGCAGGACACCACATGGGTTTCAGTGCCTGCCTTTCAGCTCTACACACCTAATGTGATGCTCAGTTCAGTGAAGCAATATATTGGCCGGTACCCACATGAAACTTCCAGCAGAGACACCCTCTAGCCAGTCACTCATTGTAATCGTTGCAGACAAATCTGTAAGCAATTTTACATAGCAAGATGATAGAGTTAGGAAAGGACAATTTGGCCACATAGATTCTTGATGCTTCTGCATTGATGTGAAATACTAGCTTGGAGGTTCTCTCTGTTAGCCGAGAGACTTTGCCACTGAGGGAGTTTCTGTCACACACCATGTGCTGAATCTCTTGGGATCCATGTAAAACCCAAGTGGAGAACCCTGGGACTTTGAGAAAGCAGATGGCCTACTGCTTTCATAGTCACCTTTTCTTCCTACTTCATCTGCACTCAGGCTCTTGAAGGTCTGAAAATCATGATGTTTCGTCTTCACTAACCATGTCAAAACTCTAAACTGTCTTTACTTAATCTTTTTCTTGGCTCCTGGTACCTACAGCTTGTTGCCATGTATTCCATCTCTCTCTTCCAGGCTGTACTGCAGTTGCTTCCTCTTGATCTGACTAGCTCATCCATTCTCTTACACTAGGCACTACTGTCCAGCCTTTAGGTCTAAGATTCTATTTCTTTTCTTGTTCAGAGCTCTGTCTGTCTTCACCAGTTCTTTCTGACACCCTGCATCTAGCCTTCACTCAAAGAATCACAGAATGGGGCCTTAAATCACAGATTGGAAGGGGCCTTAAAGCTCATCTAATTCCAACCCCCCCTGCGAGAGGGGAGGGGGGATGCAGGGATGCTTTCCACTAGACCAGGTTGCTCAAAGTCCCTTCCAACCTGGCCTTGAATACTTCCACATCTTCTCTGGGAAACTTGTTCCAATGTCTCACACCCCTCATAGTGAATATTTTTTTTCCTAATATCTAAAATAAATCTACCCTCTTGCTGCTTAAAGCTATTCCCCCTGTCCTGTCACTACCTGCCCTTCAAAACTGTCCTTGAAAGCAGCTTTCCTCTAAGTTCCCTGTAGGTATTTAGGTATCATAACTGCTTCTGGAGAAGATAAACAAAATATTTAGGGATTTGGGGTAGGCAGTACTATCTATTTTCACCTGGTTGTAATGTAATCAACTTCCAAAGCACAGCTGCACAACTGGACAAACTATTATAGCTTTGAGGTTCTATAAGTAGACTTTTACTGTGCCTTGATGCTGAGGGTGCATGTCTTTGCAGGGCTTGGTGTTTCAACTAAAACTGCATCTGGGGAAGGGTCTTTCCTTATTTCTGTGCATTCTGAACTTTGCAAAGGGGCTGTGCAGGCTGGAATGGAAGTATTGCTGTACTCTTACTGGTGTGCTAACTTTGAAAGAGACAACTTTTTTTCCTCTAGGGCCGATGGGAGAGTCAGCAAGATGTATCCCAAGGTGCCGCAAATTCCAGTAGAGGCATTAGTCCATCTCGTACTTCTCTGCCAGGCCCTAGGCAGCAAAATCACTCTCCTGATCCAGGTAAGGGCTTTCCTAAAGCTAAGACAACTCTCCTAAAAATGAAATCAAGTTAGCACAGCTACTGAATTTCAGATAAAGCTGAGCCGCTTTCAGAGATGCAGAGAAATCCCCTGAGCAATGTCTGTGCAGTTCCCTTTCTGTGAACATTTAGCAGTTGTGGCTAAACTACTCGGACTCCAGGCAACTCTGACTGGCCTTTCCTTTAAATCTGGTACTAGTTCTGCTAAGAATTAAATGCCATATGTTTAAAGTTGTCTGAAAATGCAGTCTTTATCTCAGTAGTTCATTTTCAAAAGCCAAAACCTAGCTGCTCTTAGAAGATGCTGTCTGTTACATGAGTAAAGCAGCAAAGACAGTAAGGCTACAAATGTTTTGGGAAATAAGCAGCCCTGGAACTGTATGGCTATTTTGCAGCTGTTGTACCTAATATATAGTTAAGAGCACAGAGATAGATAGTAGTAATGTTTTGCATGTCTTCCTAGGTTTTCTCAAGGGGAAGTAGTTTAGGAAAACAGCATTGTGAGTAAGGAGACTTGAATGCCCCTAACATTTTTTCTTTTTCTTAACTTGGAACTTCTCATCTTTTACCTGTAGTAAGTTTTGTAATTGTTGTTAAAAATGTGTGTTGTATGGACATCCTTTTTCAGTTTTGCTTCTTGATTTGGGGGTTTTTTGTTGTTTTGGTTTTTTTTTTGTTTGTGTTTGTTGGTTGCTTTTTTTCCTGCTTCTGCAATTTGTAAAGCATTTTATGTTTCCATTTGCAAACAACAAGCTTTTCATGCCATGTGATGGAAAAAAAAAGATGTATGCTGGGGCCACAGATTACGACCTGCGCCATTCAAGGGAGAAGCAAGCACTCAATGCTTTTGCTTGGCTAATGCTTTGACCACTGGCAGATGTCATCTTAGACTAAAATGATAACAGTTTTGTAATTTGCTTGGGGGGTGGGGTTGGTTTGGGTTTTGTTGTTCGGGTTTTTTTCTTTTCCTTTCTCCAAAGCATAGCTGTTCTCATTTTTCAATTCTTCCAACAGGTATTGGTAGCCTTGCTGCTTCCTACCTGAATCCTGTAAAGTCCTTTGTGCCTCAGATGCCAAAGCTGCTGAAGTCTCTCTTTCCTGTTAGAGATGACAAAAAGGGCAGGCAGACCTCTCCCCTTGCACAGCAGGTAAAAAATGAAATCAAATAGGCTATGTTTTTGCAGTGCAAACCAAGGTTTTGGTTATAGTGAAGCCTTGTGAGGCATTTCCTCTCTTCACTGTCCAGAGATAGTAGAGTGGTTTAAACCTATTGATACACTCAGCCCACTCGGCTTTCTAGAAGTGCCAGGTACGCTACCAGCATGATTTATGGCAATACTGCTTGCAGCATCAGTATCATTTAAATTCATGAAGTAAAATTCATGAAGTGCACTTAGTGTTGTTTGAGTATGGCCAAGTGGAAAAGGTAATTCTGTTTTTAATTTGTTATTTCATATGCCATTCCCTCCCATCCCTCACCCCTGCTCATGTCACCTTTTACTGTCTTCTGCTCTGTGCTTTGGCCAGTTGCTTTAATTCATTCTCTTACCTATACCACACATCAGAGAAGCATTTGGTTTTAGTTTTGGATGCTGTGCTGCAAAACTTCTCATGCTCTAACTGTGGGTTCTGTGCTTTGAGGAGTAGCTGGTAGTCTGCTACCTGGTAAGCTGGTAGTCCTCCTTTTTCTAGTCTGCATTGTCAAGCACACTAGAAAAAGCTACTGTCTTTTAAAGAAAACAGATGAAATAGACTAAATCTTTAATTTTTTGGAAGTAACTTATGACAGACATGACACAGGAATCAGGCAGATGTAAAATATGTTTAGTTAGACTGTGGTTTTATTCTCTACAAAGTAATAAAGGGAGCAGATTTTACACCTGTATCTTTAATTTATTTGCTATACTTTTTCATATTGTCTTCTGCTTACAACAGCCTTGGTGTTGAGACTAGAATCATATAAACTTATTCATCTATGAAACTTAGAGAACTAAAATTGAGAGTGTCTTTGTTTAAAGGTATTTGGGTATTGAAAGATGCAAATAGGTGCTCTTTACAATTGCAGTGAGAGCCTTTCACAACTTCTTGAATTCGTACTGAATCAATGAGAGCTGAGATTAGAAATGAGGCCTAATTTCCTGCCTCTAGTCTAACCACCTGTTACCACTCCTTCCTACTGTTCAAGATTATTTGTCTTTAAGTCAGTTTTTAAACGGCAAACATCTATTTAAAGATATTTTAATTTATATTATAGATTACTATAGGAGCTCAAGTAATCAGATCATGATCACAGCACCTTTTAAAAAGAGGGAAAATGCTATTTCTACTTTGCTTTAAAAAAATAAAGGCTAATATAGAAACAAGAGTGTGTGATATTTTATTGCTTGCTTACATTACATTTTTCCATGACCACTGGATCTGTATAATAAAATGAAATTTTGAAGTTATTTGTAACTTCAGGGTTTTTAATAGAACAAGTTCAGTTGTATTACAAATACACCTCACTGGTTTGAGAGGTTTATAGAGAGTCTTTGTAGCCCTATCAGTGAGGAAACAGGGCTGCTTCATTCCTGCTAGCAACTGCAGCTTACAGAAGAGAGGAAAAACTGAAGAAACTGCTACAGAATTAGCTACAGCTTCTTCTGAGCAGCACAAAAATAAGTACGTGCTGTTGTAGCAAGACGGTCTTTAAGATTGTAAATATCATGTCTCATAATCTTTCTTGCTGTTTCTTTCTAATGGCCTGATGATGCAAATGCGGCCAGAACAACTTAAATGGTGGTGGTGATGAATGGCTGTTGCACATGGTGGGTGATGGGGCTTCTATGGGGGTCACTGTTTGGCAATCAGCTATAACACCTTATTGCTAACCTGCCAGTGCCAGGCAGCAGGCTAGTAATTCTTGCACAGCAGTAGTAAACTACACAACAGAGAGGACACAAAATTTAGTTCTGTATTTTCTGAATCTCAGAAAATACAGAACAATGCGTCTTAGTTCTGTGGAAGAATAAAACTTCGATACGCAGTAGCAGAGGACATAAGTGAATGTGCAAGGTGAGAGTAGGTGGTGAGCAATGAAAAATACAGGGGCGGGGTGAAGCCAAAATGATTTTTTCGGCTGTAACTTCAAAGGAAACTGACCCCTAGTTGAGAACTGATGGACTTCTGTTGCTGTATACTTGGGAGAATTAAGTTCAAGAATAGAAATAACTAAAGGAGTGCTTTACAAAGCAAATGGAAACTTCCATATTACTTTTTCTTGGCTAAAACCAAAACAAGCAGATAGGCAAACCAGTTTTTTTCAACACAAATACCAAAAAGCAAAGTGGATCGGTTTATTACTGTCTCCTGGTTCATCAAACAACTACAGTGAAAAAGAATGCCCAAAGTTCTTGTCAAGCTCCCTTTTCAAAGGGATCTTTGTGTATCTGTTACATTATTTGAGAGTGCTTAATTATGTGGCTGAGAGAGGTGAGGTTGTTCAGCCAGATGTTTTCAAGTGTCCAAGGCCAGGTTGGACAGGGTTTTGAGCAACCTAGTCTAGTAGATGTCCCTGCCCATGGCAGGGGTGTTAGTACTAGGGGAGCTTTAAGGTCACTTCTGACCCAGACCATCCTATGATTCTATGATCTAATGTCATTTAAATCTGTTCTGGAAAAATGCTGGTGAACCATCTTGAACTAGATGGTTGGTCAGGCTTATTAAATTTTCAATGTGTTATAGTTAAATTATCGAGGTTAGGTGGCTGTACATCTCCACAGAAACCATCAGATTTGTTTTGTTACTCCTTGTAAGCAGTATCTTACAGCTAAGTTGATTTTAGAGGTTTTGAGCATTGTTTCCAAGGGAGCTGTACTTTTTTCCAAGCTTATAACTGAAGTTTATTGTGACCAAGCAGTTTTCCAAGTGAATGTGTTACCGAATCTCTGCGTGAGTAAAGAGAAGCTGGAGTTCTGATCAGTTGTTCTGAAAACACCTTTTTGATTTAAGCAGTCTTTATTTCAGTCAGATGCTGTTGCTTAGGCTGGCAACCTTAGAGCACGGGAGGACATGCAAAAGTTATCTTAAAATGTCTTTCCAAGTCCTGTTTGTGTTTGTAGTCAGTGGTTGTCTGAGTTTCAGAAATGCAAAGACATTTCAGTCAAGGTGGTGGCAGCTAACAAAATTGCTGTCTTTGACCTTCTGATGCAAGTTTAGTAACTAATCTGGAGAATAATGAACCGCAATTAATGAAATCTGCTCTCGTATTCAAGTGTGTTTCTCAGACAGCACATAAAATAATTGAAAGAACTTCCTGCTCTCTAATTAGTTAGATTGAATTAATTTGGCATAATAGGATTCTTTATGTAACTAGCAGAACGGCTTCCGATGAAGCTGTTTATGTACCTAAAAGATTGGTTTCTGATGAAGCTGTTTATATACTTTTAAGTTAGAAAAGGCCTATTTTCTCCAGTATCTGATGCCTTTAAATTAATCGCCAGTAGTCTGTAAATAAAAAAGCCAATTATTTAAGCCTTTCAGGACTGCAGGAATTGCTTTTTATTTACCTAGTCTGTTCTTTAAAAAGCTTAGTACTGCAGTGCGCAAGATCTAACGCCTTGCCAACCCTTATTGCTGATGTGGAAAAGTTTAAAAATCTTGTGTAAAACATGCAGGTGGATGGAGAATCAGAGTTTCATCTATCTGTGCTTAATTATATTACATACATGCTCTTGAAGCTTGTCTTTTTTATTAACATCCTGAGGCTTTCATAGTGTGCACCAAGCAGAATTACTGTTCTTTACCTTGTGACCCTGCTGATCTCCAGGAACTGCCCGTGTAATTACATTTAAGGGCATTGTTGGGTCCTGACATTAAGAATGTACATATGAAATTTCAGTTTCTGGGTTTTATTGACATTGCCGTGGCTGAAGCAAATTCCTCTGATCAATTTCATAAGTAGATTTTCATCACCTTCATACTTGAGGACCATGTTGGGTGCTCAAATAATGTTTTAACACATGGCTTGAATGAGAGATCTTGAGTCACACCTATCTTAAAAAAATTTGTTCTCTGAATTTTCATGTACTAATGTAATTCACTTTGTTTGTGGTCTGAAAATGCAGCCATGTGACTACAGAGAGGGCAGGTGTCAATTTTTTCTCCTTCACCTTCTGATGCAGATGTAGTAATTAATCTTAAAAAATAGTTTTTCATTAGCTGATTTCATTATCTAAATAGACAAATGCCTTTTTCTGCCAGTGCATTAAAAATAACAGCTTCATGGATGTGCATGGTGCATAGTATAATTGCTAGAACTGCCGTTCCTTAATCAAATGTAAATAACGTGGCCTCAGAGAGCCATCTTTAAAATCTTGAAGGCTTTTTTCAGTGTTTCAAATAAAGAATTGTTTCGATGCTGTAATCAGCATAGCTCAACAGATCCTCTGTGGCCAGCTGAGCTGCTATGTGTCTGGCTCTTCTGACTGAGTTGTTAGTTTTTTCATTTCTTTCCAAATTCAGTTTTCACTATCATCCTCATACAAATAGTTTTTAATGAGTATGGAAAAATTACTTTTAAAGTTCTTGGAGCAAACCACTGAAACATCTTTAGGAACTAACTTGAAAATGGTTATAAATTACCCTCTTAATCTGCTCAGACCTAGGAACAAAATAATTTAGCTACATAGAAAATTCTGGTTACTTTTGCATAAAGTGTATTAGAAATGTGAAATTCAGAAGTGGTATTACAGGCTGAAATGTTCTTCATATGAAAGGTGGTATAAGAGGGTTTTGTTTGCATTACGATTTAAATTAAGAGTTTCTTTAGAGAAGAAAACAAACACCAAACATACAACTAACTTGTACAGGGTTTCAGGTTTCCTTTTGGAATGCAGGAGACTTTATATTTGAATGATTAATTATGTTTTAATTATTTTAAAATTGAGGGCGGAGAGGAATATTTGGGCGGGGGATGGCTTTTAAAAATTGATTCATCTTTTTTTGACTTTATCCTAGGGAATTCAGAGTTCTTACTGCATTGCTCTGTCTTGTGAAAGTATTTTATCCCGGGTGCTGATTTAAACTGATTTAAATCTACATTTAATGAAGCAACTGTTATGCCCTGCTGCTGTTTCCAATAGTTGCTTTTAAATGATGATGTGAACATTATACTGTCAGTGTGACAGTTCTTGAGCTCAGTGATTCCTATCTGCAGATGGTAAAGCATAGACAAGAGCAGTGGAAGTTTTCTGATAATGCCTTTTTAGGATTGCATCAGCTATAACCTTGGCTAGACCATTTCTGGAGCTTGAAGGATAATTCTGGTACGCGCTCGCCCAGTCTGTTCTGTTATCTGCCACTGAACTTTCTGCATATTGGGTGTTAACACTGAAGAATTTTCATCCAGTTACATGAAATCAAAAGGCTTTGTATTGAAGTCATCAGTCACTATTGTCAGAGGCATTTTACAAAATGTTTAATGACATAGAAATACCAAATGTGTTTTTGTGAGCTCGTTGAAGATGTTGTCATTATGTATGCAATATATGGTATGAAAAGGAGCTCATTTAGGATTAATTTTAGTGCCTCTCTAAGTGGGGTGAGAATCACATTTGCTTTTCCTTTTCATGCTCACCAGTGTACCAGGTTGGTTTCCAGATTCCACTAATCACTAGTAACAACATGGCTTTTGGTCACCTCAGAGTATGTGCAAACTGACCTTTCATCTGACCAGAAAATACGTGCTCTTAGATATCCTTATAAACTCATTGCACAGAGTAGCAGCTCTCAGGAAGAAGACAGTTTTTGTTCTACAATGATTCAAAGGTGCTTTAAAGTGAATTCCTTTCGTGTTCTCTCTTAGTCTATATTTTGTCAGCTTGGATGAAGACATTGTGCCAAAAATTATCACTGTAAAAGGATCATGTTTTGCCAGTGGGTAAATATATATGTCTGGTTTAGCAGTCGCTATCTGCAAATGTTTAATGATAGAATTTGGCTCTCGATTCAGAAATACTTTTCATCCAGTAATGTCTTCATAGATACTCAAACACAGTATTTTTAGTATCCCACCCAAGTTACTTGACTGCGTTTCATAACACAGATTCAGTTTAGTACCCTTGCACCCCAGTGAGGGTGTTTCTGCCCATCTGTTTCTTGTCAACACAAACGTTGGGCAAGTGCCACTTCTCATAATTGCTTTTTTCTCCGTGTTTTTCTAAACATTGCTTGGCAGAGTTATTGTAGTTTTGAGATTTGTCATCCTTTCAGGAGGAGAACTTGATGAGGCATGATTAAAGTGTAATGGTTTTCTTTCATTTGCTATTTGATATCAACCAGTTTTAGGTTTTGTGGATTTACAAGCTGTAAGACTGAAGGTTTCTGAGAGATAAAAATTCCAAACAAGCTTTCTCCTCTGTTTATTTGATATAAAGAGAGAAAAATAAATCAAAGGAACTGAGAAGTATCTTTAAACACTTTTTCTTATTTCAATTCCAAGTGCTTATCTCTGGATAATAATACTAGACCTCAAAGTACTTCCCAGCCAAGGCATGTATACTGGGAGAAAATGGGGCGAAAAACTAAAGTTGTGTTGTGGTGCCAGTGAGCACTGGAGCTGTTTTTAGCTCCTGATACAAGCTCTGCTTTAAAAGGCTGTTTCCCCTTCTCCAACATATCACAGATAGACATGTGGAAGCAACAAGGACAGTGTTTCATATGTGCAACCTTTCTGGGATGCCAGAATGGACCATGGAGATAATTAACTGGGATAATTTGAATTCAAGAGCCTTGGCTTCTCAATGAGGTTCAGCTGCACCTCTGCAAAAGGTTTGAAGTGCTTTGTAAGTGCCTGCCTAGGGATTAGCCCTAATGTCTTGTGACCTTTTATTTTTAAAAGGTGATATTTAATAGCACTCCCAGGATGGACCAACCCATGGTTCAAAGATGGTTGAAGAGGAGAGAATAAGTGTTCTGCCAAGTACTCTTTTCCTTTTAATACTGTGATAAGTGTCTATTAAAACTAAAATTTGCAGGGCTTTCTCACAAGAAGGTTAATCCCTCTCCTCTCTGGTCTTTTTTAAAGTAAAACCCTTGGCTGTTGTGACAGTCAAGTTATCCTTGGGTATCAGAGTTAATGCTTAGGATGAGTCAGAGTACTCACTCACCTTATTGCTCTCAGCTATCTCTGAACCCAGTCACAAGTCAATACTACAGTTGTTTTCAGGTTAATACTTTTGTCTTAGAAGATTGCCACTTCATTCCAAAGGAAGCTGAAGTTCTTGTTCAACATCTTAATCGCTGACATGGACAGTGGGATTAAGTGCGCCCTCAGCAACTTTGCTGATGACACCAAGCTGTGTGGTTCGGTTGATATGCTGGAGGGAAGGAATGCCATCCAGAGGGACCTTGACACGCTTGTGAGGTGGGCTGATGCCAACCTCATGAAATTTAACCATGCCAAGTGCAAGGTCCTACACCTGGGTAGGAGAAATCCCAGGCACAGCTACAGGTTGGGCAGAGAAGAGATTCAGAGCAGCCCTGTGGAGAAGGACTTGGGGGTGTTGGTGGATGAGAAAATGAACATGAGCCGGCTTCAGTGTGCACTCACAGCCCAGAAAGCCAACCGTATCCTGGGCTGCATCAAAAGGAGCGTGACCAGCAGGTCGAAGGAGGTGATCCTGCCTCTCTACTCTGCTCTTGTGAGACCTCACCTGGAGTATTGTGTGCAGTTCTGGTGCCCTGAACATAAAAGGGACATGGAACTGTTGGAACAAATCCAGAGGAGGCCATGAGGATGATCAGGGGACTGGAGCACCTCCTGTATGAAGACAGGCTGAGGAAGTTGGGGCTGTTCAGCCTGGAGAAGAGAAGGCTGCATGGAGACCTCATAGCAGCCTTCCAGTATCTGAAGGGGGCCTATAGGGATGCTGGGGAGGGACTCTTCATTAAGGGACCATAGTGACAAGGGGTAATGGGTTAAAACTTAAACAGGGGAAGTTTAGATTGGATATAAGGAGGAAGTTCTTTCCTGTAAGGTTGGTGAGGCACTGAAATGGGTTGCCCAGGAAAGCTGTGAATGCTCTATCCCTGGCAGTGTTCAAGGCCAGGTTGGACAGAGCCTTGGGTGGCATGGTTTAGTGTGAGGTGTCCGGGGCCATGGCAGAGGGGTTGGAACTAGATGATCTTAAGGTCCTTTCCAAACCTAACTATTCTATGATTCTATGAGGTGTCTGAATGCCACTGGATCACGAGCCCTAAAGCTGTGTTTATGTTTAGGCTTCACTGATTTGTTCTGATTCGGGTCATCATCTGTTCCTGGAGCCCCAGCACGTGTCCTAGTAAGGATCTTGAAACACTAATGCCTTGTTCACCCAAAATAGAGCCAGTTTGCTCTGAACCCCACTTCAGTGGTGTACTTTCAATTAGCACGTTTAATGATAAGCAAACCCCACCCCCTCCTGCTTTCTTTTATTGAACTGAGCTTTAACATCTAAAAATTATTTTGATCCACTGTGAACCTCTTGGGTTTTTTGTCTGTCTTTTGTCTTTTTATTTTTTACCTTGAACAACCACGTTTTTAATTAATGCCTGGCAATCTCTATAAATCATAGCTGTTCTTTTCTTCCATGTTTATTTCTTTTGGGGACAGGGTTAGTCACATTCCTGCTTTACTGTACTTAGAAGGGATGCAAAAGAAGAGTTACCTTACTCCAGCTGGAAAGCTTCAGTTCTTTAAACAGAAAGTTGAATTCTGGAAATAGCTGTCTCAGAGATGAGCACTGCCTGTGTTTTTCTGCAGAAGGAGTTCTTAAGTCCCTTGGAGAAAAAAGAAAAAAGGCAGACTGCTCCCAAATCATAAAATGTGTCACCCTTAAGGAGCTCTTTCCCTCAAAGTATGAATCTGCACTTGCAGTACATTATTTAACAGAGCTGAAGAGAGATGTTTCTGCCTTTATCTCCTCTCTCTTTTAGTTCTTGCTTCTCTTTTCCAAGTTTCTCCACTGAACTGGTGCTCCCTTTCCCTCCTGTCTCACCAGTGTGTGTTAGCCCAAGCCTAAGATTTATAGTCAAGTATCACAGTTTGCTGTTATAGTCTTGGGAAAGTGATTATTTGAAATCTTAAAACATAAAAACCCGAATATGGAGCATGTGAGGGACGTTTATTGTCAATACCTTCAGTATCAAGCCCCATGCTGTGAAAGAGGAGATACTGTTGAAACACGGAAGTTGCTCTTCTGGCACAGAACCAGTGTATCATCATTAGCAAATGGTGTGTGTAGTCTTCACTCTAGCAGGCAGTAGTGGTGCCCTCTTTTAATAGAAGATACGCAGATCTTGTTTTCCACTTCCTTTTTGAGTTAAAGCAAGCAATGCTAAAATCTAAATTGAATTAAGATACTGGAGATGGAGAAAGAGCTTTGGAGATGGATTGAAGCTGAGGATTTCTCTCACCAGACCAGCATGTCCTCAGATCTCTCTGTCATCTGTTTGCTCAGTGGTCTGTGTTTGACAGAGTGCATTAAAGAAAACTTCCTACACTACGAATTTGTACTTGTAGCTGCTTATATGTTAAAGTTCTGGGAGGCCTTGGTTAAGTTTTTACCCTTTCAGAGCGCATTATCAGAATGTAATAAAATAGCAGTGCTCCATCCTTTCGTGACAGAGGTTTGTTTGTGATTCCAGAATTTTATATACAAGTTTTAATGTTTACCAGTGTGACAACACTTAATCCTTTAAGTGAACGATGTTCTTTGTTTCGTCCCTGCAGGCTGTCCCACGAATTATGGTTCAGTCTGCCAGTATTGACACCAGTGCTGCAAGGATAAAACAGGTAAGCACATTGCAGGATATCATGATACAATTTTCATATTCCCGTACCTGGAAACCAGAGGTGGCAGAAGCAACTGCTGGGTTAGCTATTTAAAACCTGTTGCACTTCTTTCGTTGAGATAATTAAATGCAGTGTGTGTTGCTGTGTTTTCTTAGGTCCTGGTAAAATCTCCCCTTATCACCAGTTACACTTTTGTATTTGAAGGGCTTGTAAATCATATGATTGCATTAGCAGTTAACTAGCTAAAATTTAGCTGGTTTGCTGCTTTAAAAGGCAAATTGCTGGGCTCTGTTGCTTTCTATAGACAGAACATGTCTGTTATTCTGAGTGTTGAGCTTAATTCTCAATTTTACATTTCAAGACAATTAATGATATTGGCATGAAAAAAAAGGCTCTTGATAAGCTGGAAAGAAAATAGACACTCTGATCTCCCACAGTTCAGCAGAACTTCAGTCTCATGAATAGCAAGTCATCTTTCTCCCACTTGTGCTTTTATTGTCTTAGCAAAATGTGTTATCTGAACGCTTACAAGGGAAAACAAAGACTGAGCAGAGCTCCAGAGTCCACATGCACACCATCCTCTCCATAGAAAAGCTAAATTATGCCTGTAATCCATAGGAATATTTAAAAAAATTCTTCTGTATTACATTTAGCAATAGCAGGATAGCCTTTGGTTCTGAAATTCCTGTAATCCAGTCAAATCCCTCTTTCTCGAAATTCCACTTATATTTCCAGTGGAAAAGCCACTTCAAAATAAGGTGAAAATCGTGTAGTTCAGGAGACTTAATCACTAGATGGGATAAACCACAAGATTTTGAACAATAAACAAAAAACGTACACTTGAGAGTTAAGATCTGTGCAAATCTGCCGTCCTCCAACCACTGTTTTTTTCCCCTTCATATTAGCAGCCTCCTCCCTCCCTCCCAAAGAGATTTAGAGACATCCTAATCTTTTAGAGTACATGTGCTGGCGAAAGATATTGATCTATCAGATTTAGTAAACTTTACAGCCAAGAAATACATCACTAAAATGGGCTGTTAATCTCGTGAGGTGCAGTTAATTTCATACTCTGCAAGTGTGTGGTGCTGGTGGCATTGAGGTGGGAATGGCATTTGGAAATGGGGGCATAAATGACAGTTTAGTTGGAGAGGCATGATTTATCAATCCTGAGAGTTAAGCCAAATAACTGAGAGACTTATAGATCATGGCTGTTTCACATTTCCTATAAATCCTGCTATTCAAACAGCAAATGACCATTCCTGCAATATAAACAATTTTTCAGTAAATATTGGGGGATGTATTTCTTTTAGTTGACAGACACTTTTCTTATTAATGGAAGAAATGAGCTGACAATCCTACCAGATTTGCAAAGCTGACTTCGGATCAGCTTGCATCTTTTGGACTTTGCAGCTACACAGGGATTTAGATAAGCCAAAGGTCTTAGAACTTCCCAGAGGCCTTGTATCTATCCTTTTAGCTCAGATATTTTGGGTAACAGGTCCCTGTCCTTCTCTGTTTCAGATTAAACAAGAGGAAATAGGAAAACAGCCATTCGAAACTGCAGTGCAGACGTCTGAGGTGGACAAGAGTCCAGAAAAGACACCCAAAGTGCCTTTGCAGCAGCCCTCAGGAGACACCCAGGCACAGGACTCCCAGGAGGGACCTCCAAGTCCTCTAAGTGAAGCCTCCAGTGGGTACTTTTCTCACAGTGTCTCGACAGCCACTCTCTCTGAGGCCCTTGCAGCAGGAATTGATGCTGTGGCTCAACCAGGAAGTCAAACACCTTCAGCCAGTGACTTCCCAGCTCCTGCTGTGACTCAGGTCCCTTCTTCTGACATGCCAGGGCACTCAGACAGTTCATCAGAAAGCTGTCTCAGTACTAAGAGAGAGAATCTACCTGCCTTCAGCCTTCAAAGCACTCATGCAAGACCTAAAGACAGCACTGAAGTAAATGGAAACGATGCTTTGAAATCCAAATCTTGCATATCTCCTGTGACTCAAAGCGAGCAGGGAAATGATGCCTCTGTAGCAACTGATGCAAAAACCTTTCTTTCTACCTCCACTCCAAAGAAGGAGTTGTTATCCAAACAATCAATGGAGTCAGCAGGACAAGCTAGGAAAAAGGAAATGGCTTCAGAGTCTTCAGAACTGGGGTTTCCCGAACAATTGTCCCAGCCTGGTGTTGCAGCCTCCCCCTTCAAAATCCAGAAAGTCAAGACATCAGAACTGAAGTCCTTTACAAGCATGCTGGGAACAGATCCCATGTATTCACTAAACACAGAAGAGCAGCAAGGAGAGAAGAGTACAGCCACCACCCGTGGACTGAACCATAACGGATCAGAGACAGCAGAAGAAAAACTGGAGGTGGCTTCTGATTCTGAAGAAGCCAATGAAATTCCTGAGTGGCTGAAAGAAGGGGAATATGTCACAGCTGGTGCAAATAAGACAGGCACCGTTAGATATATTGGGCCCACAGACTTTCAAGAGGGAACATGGGTTGGTGTCGAGCTGGATTTACCTTCAGGTAAAATATACAGACAGCATGTCAGGATTTGCAGTGCTTCAGTTTAATGTCACTTTCTGATGAGGGGGGAGCACATTAGCCATTACTTGGTGCATTTTGAGATGGGAAATATCTTTCCCTGCTGTTGTCTTTTTCCAGTCTGCCTTTGTAAACCTAGTCTCACTGACCTCTCACAGAGTTGTGTGCCTTTTCAGTTACTTCACTGGCTTCTTACAGTGGAGGTAGGAATCAGGATTGCTTTTACAGTGCAGGTAAGTAAGTAAATAGTTGCAGGGGACAGCCCTTGTGTCCAAAGAGTTCTCTTCTGGGCTTCTGCTCTGTGGATAAGGGTGTCCAAAGCACAACAGGAGCTGTGGAATTCAAATAACCAAAGGAACATTCAGGGTTAATAAATTGCAAAGGCTTCCAAGGGGTTACCTAGTCTCTCACAAGCTGTTTAAAAATAAGCTGTTAAATGGCAAAATACTATTTATGTCTGTGTATATATTGATATTTATACACCTATATATGTAAAAACCAGTAGGAAATAATCACACTTTGACCACCAGGACATACAGATGATTTAAAGTTTCTTTCAGCTTTTCGTTTGTCATTCATGTGTGACTCTTGTACAACTGTAGACTTCACAGAATTTAGGCTCTAATACATGCTTTTTGGAAATGAGGGTGCTGTTCCTGGAGAGGCTCTGTTCGTATGTGCTGTTGCACAGTGATGGGGAAAACCAGTGACTTTATCACAAGATGAAAGATGACACCTGGCATTTGTTCTCTGCTGCAGCCCCAGGTTTCATAACTTCCTTGACACCACTTTCAAAGGACTTATTTTCTCCAAGAGCAGGTAGGATTGGGGGAAGGCAGGGCATGCCAGTGGAAAATTCAAGAGGCAAGCAGTAGATACCGCTGCCTTTTGATATTTGAAAGGGTTTGGTTTACCAAGGGCACATAAAGCTCCTTATTGAAATCCTTTTAACCAAGCTGTGGCATTCCAAGTATGCAGTGCAGGCTGTTTGGTGAATCAGCATGTCCCAGGGAGTTGCCTACACTCATCTCTGCTTCACACTTCCTGGGATGGAAGCTGCTCACCAAGATAAATACTGTGTCAAGGATCCAGAGCTCCCATTAAGTGAGCAGTTATCTTCTCTGTGCCTGGTGTGCTCATAAAAGCTAAAATGGAAGGTGTGCTTTCAGCTGGTTTCAGAAAACTCTGGAGTTTCCCAGTCTGGAAAGCAAACTGCGGCTCTAATCCCTTTGAAAGTTGTAAACCAGTGCTCAGTCCTGAATTCATACCTTATTTTAAGAAATATATATATATATTTACAGATTCATTTCCATTTTGGAAAGTCACCTTCCCTTCCTGTCTGGCTACTCTAATCCACAGTGGTAATTCTATTAAGCTCTTTGCACATACCTGGTGTCAGCTTCAGTGTCCATGGAAGAGCCAAAGAGCGACAAGATTTTTTTGGTCTATTGGGACCTCAGCTGCTGATGTTACTGGGTATTTTTGTTTCCCCATCTGTTTCCATGAGGAGTAAGTCCTTGATTTGTTGGAGCATAACTGGATTCATGTGCACATCTGGAGCTGCCATTGGAAAATATGATCACAAACTTTTATCTTGGTCACACTTACAGGCAGTGGTAGAAGTCCAAGTCTTTGGCCACGGTGGGGCTATGTGGGACCCAAAGCAGTGCTGGTGGTAGAGAGGAGATACCTGTAAAACAAAAGGGGTGATTTTATGTCATTTAAAGAGCTGTCATATCGTTTCACATTCCCTTTACAGATAGGAGGGGTCTCTGTCCCGGTACCCAGAACAGTGATGGGGGAGAATGTTTAAAGAAGTTAAAGACAGCATCAGTGTAAAGAAATTGTTCTGTCTGTTCTGTGGAGGTTTTATGACATGGAAACAGGAACTCTTCTCAACTTCAGACTCTCATCAACTCAGAAACCCAAAAGTTCTTTTAAATGTCTTTTTTTTCTTTTTTTCCTTCCTTCCTGATAGTTTGCTGATGCCTCTGTTGCTGAACTGAGTATTTAACACTTTTGGTGAAATTAAAGCATTCCCCTGAATAGTGAGCAGGAAGGAAGAATAAGATGGAGTGTCCCATTCAGAGTAACTGTGCAATGGCTTTCCCTCCAAGCATCTCTGTGGCCTCCTCTGGACCCCCAGCAACAGCTCCAACTCCTTCTTATGCTAGGGGCCCCAGAGCTGGATGCAGGACTGCAGAGACGGGTATCACCAGAGCAGAGTAGAGGGGAAGAATCCCCCCCCTTGGCCAAGGTCAAGGTGATGCAGCCCAGCATATGGAGAACACACCATACACACAGAATAAGAGCCATTTCATCTATCATCTTTGTTTCTTTTCTTGTCACAGGTAAGAATGATGGCTCGATTGGAGGGAAGCAGTATTTCAGATGCAACCCAGGCTATGGATTGCTTGTGAAACCAGGCAGAGTTAAAAAGGCCACAGGATCAGCAAGACGGCGGAGCACCGGGTTGAGGTTGCAAGGAGGAGTCGCCACTGAGAACAGGAAGAGCGGCAACTTCTCCGGTTCAGCCTCCAGCCTGGCTTCACTCACAGCCCTGGCCAAATCAGAAGGAGGACCCACGCTGCGACTGGAGAAGAACCAGAAAAATGCGGAGAACAGGAAATCCTGGGCAAACTGAGACAGCTCTGCGCACAGCAGCAAACGCTGTGCAACGCAGCCAAGGGAGCAGGTCTTCTAGCTTCGGGACGTGAAACCAACCACATGAACTTCTAGTTTGTGGCAAACACTAATGAAGGCTTTTTTCTCTCCTTTGGGTGATTGACATGTTAATTCTTTGCCTTGTCATGGTGCTGGATCTGTGTCCTTCATTTCCTGTTACAAATTGTGATGCTTCGGGCAGCCAGTGAAAGCTCATGGCGGTGGGTGCATGTAAGCTCTGCTCTCTTCCACCTCTCACAGAAGGAAGAGATGCGTAAATTGTTTGAATTATGACATGGCTTTCCAATAGCTACAGAATAACTACCCATGCACCGGTGCTTCTCTTGGTGTGACTGGCAATTCTAAAGAAACATCCCCAAAATAACAGTTCTTTCCTACTTTTGTAAGATGTGTCCGTATCACATAATACATGGTAAAAGAGCAAGGTTATCATGAGTCCGGACAGGCAGAGAAGCAAACATAGATTTTTATTTGGAAATAAAGACACCCCACCCTCCCCACCCCCCAAAATCTGTTTATTTAAAAAAAGACACCAGCTCCTTGGTTATGTGGCCTGGGCCCAGTGCCTCTTTGGTTAGTGTCCTGTTGTCCCTCTCTCCTGCTGTGAAATTGGCACAATCTTTCTAGCTGTTTTGTTGGGAATGGGCGAAAGCCCATGACCCCATGTAATAGTTTTAATCCCTTCAGGAAAGAGAGGAGTTGAGCAAATTTTCCATCTGATCTATTTCACATGCTCTCTCACCATGACAGGATCCCCTCTCACTTGCTCCAAAGTGGCAGCACCTTCTTCCTGTTGGTGCTGCCGTGTGGGCCAAAAGGATTTCTGCAGAGATAGCAGCACTGAAGTGCTTTGATGTTTCTTCCCAGCCTTTGGAGCTGGTTGGATTTTTACCACTTGGGCAAAGCAGAGGGTCGCCGTCCTTGTAACGGGATGAATCCAGTCTATTTATTTGTATTTATTGTTTTAAAATATGAAATGTTTGCGCTTTACAATCATCCACCACCTGACGTTGCACAGAGGAGCTCCACCAGATCCATATCGAGCATCCATCCAAAGAGGAGGTGCCTCTGTCGCCAGCTAAACCACCCCAGCGGCACACAAAAGCAAACCTGGCTGAACGGGCTGAGGAGTCATCCCCAAAACGAATCATCCCTCTTGGAAGTGGGAGGTTTGGGCTGGCTTTTATGAAATTTGATTTTATTTTCAGTAACCCTTGTTATTTTTTAACTGCCTGTGACCCAAATGACGCATTGCTGTGCGTGTGTTGTATATACATGTGCGCATATCAACATACACGCACTCGTTGTCTAACAAATGAAGAAAGGCCACAGACTTTTTCTATTCTGAGCTTTTATGTCTTATTTACTCATCACGGGGGGATCGGACAGCTTGAGCAATAGACATTTTATCTACGTGGGGTATATTTAGGATGCTAAATTAATGATTAAACTTTAATAGGTATCTAGTCGCTGCCCGTGCTGCACGTGGGTATCTAAGTGCCTTAGCCATCTGGTTCAGAGGTCCAAGGGAAAGATTCATTGTCATCAGAGGAGGTAGGGATGCTTAGCGGAGGAGATAATTATGCTGATTTACTGTAATTAATATTATTTATGCAGAAGGAATAAAATTAAAATAGAAACTAATCTGTAGCAGAAGTGGGATGGGTTGCAATGCAGCATGCATAGTACTGCCAGGGATTTGTGTATCCTTTCAGCTCCGTGTGACTAGTTTCAGTGTTTCCTAAATTTTCATAAAGAAACCGTAATATAAAATGTACAGACCAGCTTTTAAAACTATCTTTAGTGTACAGTTTTTCCTTCTTTTCCTTTGCACAAAGCTCCTGTCTGTTCAAGCCAAGGTGATGGGAGAATTTTAGTAGTAAGGAATTCAGATGCTAAAATCCTGGGGTTTGAAATTGTAACTGGTTTTATGGACATGACCCCTGCAACCAAGCGGCGTTCCTTTTTGGGGTATGACGAGTCTTGCTGATGAAAAACCACCCGCTAATGAACATGATGCATCTTCTACTGCCTTGTGAGTTTTCTAAACCCCATCTTTACCGGTTTTTAATTGCACTTTGTTGTGATGTGCTGCAGAAAGTCAGCTACCATGAAACAGCCCCTCACCGGTAGCTGTGGTTTTCAGTCTCGGCACTTCATTTGCTGGATTTAGGGATATCTTTAATTGATGTTTGATAGGTGGCCCCTTTTGGGGAGACATGAAGGGAAAACCTCTCAGAGTCCTTCTGATGCCTTTTTTCTTGCACCACTGTCTCTGAAGACTGGAGTCTGTGGCACATAAAGGTGTTGAAGTCACAGAGGTGAAAGGGTCAGGCAGAAGCAGTTGGGTTAATAGTTCACTGTTTATGCTACCCTCTATAAATTCCTGTGGCTGTATTTGTACTACAGCCCTGACCACCTAAGGGCAGATTTCAGTGTTTGCACATCTGGGGCACGTGCTCAGAGGCTGCAGGTGACTGGTACAGGGTGGATTTCCTCCTCCACCTGCCCTCAGTCGTGTCACAAAATCATGCTGGGCGTATTCAGAGGGGTTTGAAATATGGCTTGAACAGAACATACTTGCTGCCTCCTCTAGGATAACTTGTCCTGGAAGCAAATGTCTTGGATATAGCTGGTTTGTTTAAAACATCAGTGGATGATCAGCATGATGAAGTGCTCTGTTAAGGGAGCACCGGGTTGACTTTGGTGGAGGGAGGAATTTACTTATAGCTCTTTTGGTTTTTACCATCTCATTTGACTGTTGAAACTAAACCTCTGCTCACATTCCACCCTGGCACCTGCCCCAAAAGGGAAGCCACCCTGACCAAACCACCCCAATGTGGCACAAGCTCCAGAAAGCCCAGCAAGTCAGATTTGGCCATGAGGATGTTCTTGGAGGATTCTCTGTCTCCCTCCTGCCCACCCCAGCATTCCTGGGCATGCTTCTGAAGATATTTTCCAAGATTCTGGCACAGGGAATGCACATCCCTCCACTCAAAGCCATCTGTTACTGTGCACCAGCTAAGCCAACTAACCAGAAAGCAGTTTAAAACCATAATGAAGGTAATATACATCTATTTTATTATTGATAGCATTAGAAAGGCTCTACGTTCAGCATAGAGGAGGTGCTCTTACCTGAAAGCACCAGCGACTGGGGCTGACGTGTTGATAGCTATGCATATTTTCCAAGATTCTCATGCACTTTATACAGGGAAGAAGAATATTTAATGCAGGAACTATAATTTGTAGGAAGTGTCTCCTCTCCTGTGTCTGCTTGGTGGTGCCAGCTTGCTTTCTTGAACCATGGGTACGTCTTGGATTCTGGATGTTGAAAATTGTGTTGGTGGTAGGAAGGGTGATGGTCTGAGCCTGGGTCTGCAGCTCTGCACAACTGTTGTGTCATTTACTCCGAGTCAGCCAAGAGGATGCTTTCCAGGGGGACTTCTTTGGGTGTTCTCAAAGCAAGCCAAGATGTTTTCCTGGGTTACATTCAGCTCTCTGATGGTGTTTTGATCTCTATCCCCCAAATCATCTTTCCATTCAAGGGCCTTGTCTGTTTGCTGTTTAGTGGTGTAGTTCAGTTGAGGAAAGCTAACAGAAATTAGTTCTGTGTGGTAATATTGCCCGAGTCCTTAAGAAGAGCATTTTGTCAGTGTTGAGGTGGAAGCTCCCCTCTGCTGCCTGTGTGGGGGAAGTTTGACGCCTCTTTGCTCTCCTAGGAACCAGGAAACCCACCTCATTCCTACCTATCAGTTGTGAAAACCCATACAAAAAGTGCTTGTGTGTTGTACAGACCTGTTTGTGCGGGAGCGGAGCTGTTGTTGAGTCATTTCTGTGTTCATGCTTGTGCTGTCCTTATGGCAGTACTGCCAGATCTTTGCACAAGAGGTTGAGTTTTCGCAGTGCCTTATCCCTGGGTCAGCAGCTGATGCAGCGAGGGGCTGGATTTTGTACCAGCTCGAGGCCATCCAGCTTTCAGGAAGGGGTGAGCATGAGAAGTGAAGGTGCAAACTGGACACTGCAGAATACTCCTGAGCTGGGGTGACAAGTGTCTTGTTCCTGGGTCTCCTTTATCTGTGCTTTGGTTTCTGTGCTCTCCATCCTCCTCCTAAAACACTGTCATGTTTCTCACTCCCGAGAAATGCTTGGCTGCTGCCATCTGCCCCTGAGCACTGGGCACAGCTGGGTTCATGGAATCACAGAATGGTTTGGGTTGGAAGGGACCTTAAAGCTCATCCAGTTCCAACCCCTGCCACAGGGCAGGGACACCTTCCACTAGACCAGGTTGCTCAGGTCTCAGCAGAGCCTCCTGGCACAGCCTGGCTGAGCCTTATCCTGGCTCCAGCATCTGAGTGCCACAGCAGAGGGAGCAGAGACATGGGATGGGTCTCCTTAAACCCAGCAAGAGCCAGGAGTGCAGAGTGGTGGGGATGCATTAGAGACATTTCCCCTTCAAGGGCCTCACCTGCTCAGCAGGAGCAGGGCTTCTGTCCGTCAGGAGGATGCAGCTGCACTCCTCTTGCATATCCCTTCCAAACCCATTCTGAAGCTGACAGAGGAGCCGTGCTCCAAGCAGCAGCTGGCTGGGTGTGCAGCAGTACATCCCTGCCTTGCCTCAGACGTGGTGGTGTTGGTGCTGTTCCTGTGCTGGGACTCGTTCTGTGTTTTCACCTCCATTAACACCCACTGTGTCTTGGGAGAGCCTGTTCCAGCTCATGGTTGTGTTGATTGATGTAAATGTAGTGGCTCTGTATATAGAGTGGCCATTCACGCTGTGGGGTTCCGTGCCGATCGGTGTACTTTAAATGAGCTAAAATCCAAAGATACTTTGTAATGAGCTGTAAAGTTTTTAATTATTACTGTACAATACTAAATGATTGTAATATTGTATCATACGTGTGACGCAGCCCGCAGTACCGAAATAAACGTCTTCTTTAGAGCCCCTAAGTCTGTGCTTTGTTAATTAGGGTCACATCACCAAAACGTTTAGATGCACTTGCAGCCCTGCAGTGGAGCAGCATCACTCCAGGGTGCCAAGACCTGTTTCAAACAAGACTGTTACTTGGTTGTCTCCAGTTTAGGGACCTTC